GCGAGGCTCTTTCACTATTTGAAAGTGTGAAGGAGTGCAGTTATTACGTCTTTTCAAGGACCGCATCGTCTTTGGGTGTGACTGGCGATATCTCAAGACGGGAGACTGTCATGGGACACGTCCATATCTTCGGAACAAGATTGGAATTGCCAGACGAGACCGCCCCGGAAGCTTCTTTGCCTTGCGTGCGATAGAATGCACGAGAGGAAACGACACGTTCATTTCCGTCTTGGTCTCAGGTTCTGCCCTACTCATCATTCGAGGCTTTTCGTGGGCGTTATACCGTGTCTCCGTCTCCACGGGGACCAGAGTTGCAGCACAATTATGACGGGTATTGCACTCAAGCCCTTGATATCAATGGATATTTCTTGGATGGCTTTGGGAATCCTGGGCTGTATCATCACGACTCCTCAGACCTGGGCGCGGAGTTCATCAGCTAGCTCTATTGCATGAGCTTGACTTTGCTCGGATGGAACAGGTAGCCAAAACACTGCAATCGAACGAGTTGAATGTTCTTCACCGTGCTTGATACTGCCGGTTTGCTATGTCTGAATCCTCATGCCGAATGGGACCAAGTGCCACACTCTGTCGTTCCACGGTGTCCGCTCATCCTCTATGTCCAATCAATCAATGTTGTCAAACCCGAGACCAGAACAAAGCTTTACATTTTCCATCCCGTCCGTTGCCTCTATACGACGTTACCTGTCCACAGACACGATACCGTTGTCCCTTGCAGAGCATTGCTAGCAGCAACGCCGACCTTGACGCACGGCACTTTCATCAAGGCTTCTGGCGAAATCTGCACTCTGGACCTTTGGGAAAGAGTCATATTTTCACTTGATCCCCTTTCTGTATAGCACAGGCCGCAATCGTCTGTGGTTCAGCGTGGCTCATTGCTGCTAACGATTGTGATCCAATCCACCCATGCGGAGTTCAACGATGCGACGGCGTCCGAGGATCCAAATATACACGAACAAGCACCATCAAATATCAGGGCCGGTTTATACGGCAGGCAAACAAGGCATTGTCGGAGGGAAGAAGGTAGGCTTTTGGCCGGGTTTGAGAATCTGGATGCGTTTCAGACTGTCGAATGACATCGAAAATCTGCAGCTCCTCGCAATTCTAGATCCGAGTGACTTTCTACGATATCACGCAGCGATGAGCGAGGAATCGTGCTCACGAGCGCGACTTCGGGGCTTCACACTGGAGTTGGACTTGCTAAACAGCTAAGGCAACGCCCTGCACGCTTGGAGTGGACGACTCTCTGGTGCAACGCGCCATCGTCGTGCAGGGACTCTACCGAAGATCGAACTTGATACGGAGGCAGTCCGAGATCAGCACTGCAAATGGTACAAACCGCCCGACAGAACTATCCCGAACGAGACGTGGCTCTGCTCGAGTGATGCTACGTAGTGGCCGCGAATGCATACCCCAGTCGACTTGTCATCTGAACACTTGATGGTGCGAAATGAGCTGGGTTGGGGGTGATGGAATGCCTCTGGAAAGCACTAAAGGCGCCATCAGTACATCTCGAGGGAGAGCCGCATGCCGAAGCAGGATGTCCCTTTCACCGCACCGTGATCAATGCCGAGCGCCCTCTTGTTTCCGGAGCTGGTATTGCATTATGAAAAGGTGACAATGCCGTCCTTTGGGAAACGCTGAAGAGTCCCAGCGATTGTCTCTACGACAACGTAGCTTGGTTCCTGACTCTACATGTCCAATTCGTCAGATGATCTGGCGGCCGATGCGAGGCTCTAAGCGACGCGTCAAAGTTGAGCTTCACCGGACGATCTCCTCGCCACTCCTAGCTAATATCGCAGACATCTTGATTTCTCCCGAAACAACCTCTGCGTCACTTCAGTTCTTCCATCAGCAGTGCCGGCGAGGAAGGTCTCCAAGAGATGGCGAACGTGCGCTCGAGACATCCATCTTCTTTCCCCCATGTTCAGCAGCCCGCTATTACGAAGAGAGCCAGACGAGAAGCTGGCTACTTCGAGTCGGTTGTCCAGACGCTGAAGGTGGAGGAGAAGAGTCTCAACTTTGTCAGGAAGCTTGGAAAGGTCCCGCTTGGCTTCAAAGTCGCCGGGAGCTCACCATTGACCGGGACTGGAGAACGAGTCTCGAAACCAGGTCTCAACAGCCTCCGCTGCCTCTCAACTTCCCCGACAGCCGTTGGTTGACTCCAGGAAATTTTCGGGGCAACCCGAGTACGAGGCCGACCGCGTTGCCGAGAGCTTTCATCGCGACAACGAGTAAGACTGCTCTTCTACCTTTTACAGCGTTACGCCAGCCCAGAATCCCCGAGCTTGGAGCACAGCAAGGTCAGAATTGGTCGTCCTGAATGCGCTGCTCATCTTTGACAGACCTTGTGTCGAAAGGGGGATGACAACACTACAGACGATCGGGGGTTTGATCGAACCGCCAGCCGAACATGTTCTTTCGGATCATACTGATATCACCCCGTTTCCGGGTTCAGTGATCGAAAGAAAGCCATACAGTAATGACAAGACGATGGTCGCGATCGGGAAGGCGTGACACATGTGGTTGAGCACGTCCATCCAGCCTCATCCAAGAAGAGATACGGGAACTGTCCCAACCATCGATCACAAGATGTCTGTACTCTGGCGGGAAGAAGTTCAACAGGCCGAAGACTGGTGGTAGAGCAGCCGGCATGGGACCAGCCAATGTCAATACCATGTCAAATGAATAGCGACAAGTCGGACGGGATTCGAGTGGGATAGAGAATATCTTGGACAAGTCTCCAGCTGAGACAGAATCGGAGAAAGACGAACCCGGCAGGGACAGGCATGTACTGTATGCCAGATTGGTCATCGATGTCCTTCTTTTCGCGAAACAGTCTTCTCTTACAAATATCTTAAATCGTGATTTCAAGGAAGTGGTGCCCGGTCCAGCGCTGCGGCGAGTTCCTTGGAGGACTGAAACCCCAAAGTCCAACAGTTCTCAATGATATGGCCTAGCCAGACAGATTCGGTGGACGGGAGGTCGTCTCGTCGTGGCCCTGAATACAAACTGTCGGATCCTTTCCGTGTCAGGTCGAATTTGCACTCACGTCCGGTAATCACTTGGTACATTACCGCGCCATATTGCCCAATGTCATTCAAGATTGAATAACCAAGCTCGTCAGTCCCAGATAGGTCCCATTCGAGCGGCATCAAGGTTGATTCTCCAAAGTCGCAAAACTTCACATCTAGAGTGTGGTTGAGGAGGAGATTGTCCAATCGAATATCCGCAATGATAATCCGGTGTTCGTGGATATAGGCCATTGTGTGTGCTAGTTGGGCAAACCAGGACAACAGAATCCTGCGCGGTAGTTGTGGTTCCTGTTCCTTCAGAAAATGACGAAGATCACCGCTCATCCGCTCCATTCGGATCGAAGGGTCGGATGTCTCGAGATCATAGCAGCGGACAATACCATCGTGGCTACCTAATCTTCGATAGATTGCCTTCTCAACTCCAATCGCTTCAATAACCGGAATTCGGTCGTCGTACTCGCCCTCCTTTGGCGTCAAGGAACCCAGCTCCACGGGTACTCCATCAATCTTGATGTGTCTCGAAATGTAAGGCACCTTCAATGCGTAGTGTCCCTGCTCAATGACGATCCCTGTTGCGCCTTGTCCAATGACCTTCTCGGTTACTTTTGTGCCATCGACATGTACGAAGACCGATTCGGTGAACGATGGGTAGGAGTGGTTCCATGGATATTGAAGCTGGGAGCACTGAGGTGACGAGGGGGAAGTTGACGTATGGGAGCTTCTGTGCGGAGGTGTCAGTATTCATATCGAGAAGAAGGCCCCGACTTACGCGACGGCCATGAAATAATACAACTTTTGGAATGATTCGGGTGGCAAGATGAGGGTAATAGCTCTCAGGGTCGGGAGTGAGGATTGCACCCTTTCACAAGATGTAACGCGCACGCGCAGTCACGTGGTACGCTGTGCATGCCTGCAGCGTGATCAGTTGTCCTGGCAGAGCGCTCTCAGTGCCTACTTGTACAGGTAGTGTTGATAAATTCAATTGAGAGGGATGTCGCGCCTCGGGTCGACGTTGTCAACACAAGATCAATGACGCGCTGCCTCCTGCCATCAACTTGAATGATTCTTGGCCTCTGCCTCGTTATTAGAGCCCGGTTCCGTTTCCGTTTCGGGATAGTGTATCACGCCATTTTATTGAGATACTGACGAGGCGGCTGCTGTATTTAAAGCGGCGCGATGCGGCCGTCCAGCTTCTCGGTAAAGGTTCCTTCTTCGACGCCGGGGAGCTTCCTAACCAGGACTAGCGTAGTATTAGTGTTCCCACGCGAAACAAGGTCCAGTCCCTCACGTGAGATAACGCCGCTCACTGTCATTATCTCACGTAAAGACTCAGACCAGCTACATCTATCCACTCAGGGCTATCGCGCGCGGTCCGTCTACCTAGTCCTTGTTTTAGTTTGTGCTATTGTTACTAGCCTTGACATCGAACTCCTTTTCCGACAGCCTTTCCGTATCTCCACCTCATCCTGCGATCTTCTCCATACCTCCACCTGCTGCGATCCGCTCTGTCCCTACACCGTCACCCCGCCTGTGACCTGAGCCGTCGAAATCCGGTCTCTCGTCCATCTACTGCCAGACTAGATGTTTGATTTCCAATACTTGGCTTCCCACGGAATATTCCACTCGATGGGTGAAGCTGGTCGGGAAGAAGATGAGAGTATCAGAAGCCCTTGACGATGAAAACAACGTCCTCCATATGTTTCAATACCCAGAGGAACGCATCCAGTTGATAGTCATGCTTCTTGAGAAAGAGAATGAAATTCTTCATATTGTTGCGCAATGTCTCAACGTCAACGTGAATGCTTGCAAGCTTTCAGGGGTCGCCGATTGGAACCACGACAGTTTCAATCTATGTGTTCCTATTCATGTCGATTGGAAAGGGCTTAAACGAGTTCTATTCCGTGTCCCACTCCCGTATAAATTGGTGAGGACTTGTTCCCAGGCAACATGGACGAGAAAGTCAGATGTGAGGCGACAACCTATATTTACATTCACCAACACTGTCCGGATGTCCCCATCCCCATGCTCTTGGGCTTCGGCGCCTCTACCGAAATCTACGTAAGCCTGCTTGTCTGGATGAGCCTTAGTGATGCAGGCTAAATACAAGAAGTTCACACCTCTTGAGAATGCTTCATTCTTATACCGGCTCTGTCGATCGTTTGCCAACCGACTGTGCACCTTTGCGAGATTCCCATTAGCGTCGTCTTTTGCCCGGGATTGTCGAACATTATCTCTATGTGTGGGTTACCTTGTACTGGAGTACATTGAGCGTGGGCAAATGCTCTCTGAAACATTCGATTCTCAAATATACGATCCATCACGGCGGCGGAACCTATTCAAGGATCTGTCCGGTATCATAGTGTCGTTAGCAAAGATTCCCCAGCCTCGAATTGGCTCCTTTACCATTGAAGATCAGGGATACATATCACTCTCCAATCGCCCTTTAACTTTCCAACTCCAAGCACTCGAAAATGAAGGCATTCCAACAGGTATTAACCCTTTACGAACCAACGAATACACCGAGAGTTACGTGCTGGATCTCCTAGCGTACCATGACAGCCGCCTTCTGCATCAGCCAAACTCCATGAACGATGAGAAGGACGGGAGGCGACAGATGTCCGCCGTAGGTCTAATGAGGTCCACCATGCCCCAGTTCATCAACCCCAAGACCACACGAGGCCCGTTTTTCCTCGGTCTCACGGATCTGCACCAGAGTAACATCTTCGGCAACGAGCAGTGGCAAGTCGAGAGTCTGATAAACTTGGAATGGGCGTGTTCACACCATTCCGAGATGCTGAGACCGCCTTACTGGTTGACCGGGTAGAAGGTCGACTGTTTGTATGGCAAGACCCCGCTTGACAGATTCTGCAACACACGCGAAGAATTCATGGCCGAGTTTCGACAACAGGAGATGTTTCTAACGTCGCCATCGGAGACCACACGAAGTGCCATGGTGGAGGAGAACTGGAACAATGGGTCCTTCTGGTTCTTCCACGCGCTCGAAACGACGAAGGGGTTCTACAATATGTCCAAGCAGAATGTCATGCCTCGGTTCTCGGGTGATGACAGTTCTGAGTTCCCTGATATTTCGCTGTACTGGAGCAGTGACGTGGACAAGATGATCCGTTCGAAGCTCGATGAGAGAGAGCGGTATCTTCAACGGCTGTCCTTGGCGGCGGTATCTACAGACTCGGATTCAGATGGGTAGCTGCAGTTCAAGCGGGCTGACGGAGGTTTTCTGTGATTGCCTTGTCCTGAGCGGCTCTCGGAAGGGGAAGACAGGTGGATCTTCCTGCCCCCATGAGTTTGAGACCAGTGTTGGTTTGTTCACGCTTGTCTCTCCCTCGCCATTGTCCTTATCCTTGCCTTTCTCGGTATGTAGGGGCTTTCTTGTCAGACTGCGGTTGGCTGACTGGAAGTACGTATGTTGCATGTTGCATGTCGCATTCTACGTGTTATATCTCGTGACCTCTTCCCTACTCATGGCAGCGGTATTCTCTAGGAAAGAAGCTAACCATAGGGACATATATCTCTCGATGATGTGGAGTTACCGATCCTCCATAGAAACCGTGCAGAAGCGAACTCACGCGGAGAGGAAATCGGTATCTGATGATGATGACCGCATCAAGACTCTCGATGGGTGCTACGCTACGAATATATATGTTGCATGTATATCTGTATACGCGTACAACCATCTCTATGTCACGGCCCAATGCTCTCGTTCGGTCAAAGACGGTGGTCAAGTCGTGCGGTTCTCAGTAGCTGGCCAGCTGGTCAAATACAATCAAATCAAGTCATGTTGTCGACGTTCATGCGAATGTATTGACAATGGCTGACGGCAATGTGTACACATATAAGCCATAAAATCCTCAAAGAGCCAGCAAATTCAATAAATGCCCATGGATACAGAGCTATATCTGGCAATGGTTGCTTGAACCTTGCTTGGTGCCTGCCTCAGTGCCTCCATGTTTGCTGCAAGGGATTCCAAAGGAAACAACCCGTACCAAGGAGACTCGGCGGACATGCAAAGCCACATTAGGATGGTAGAGTCGTGGCTTCGATGAGGAAAAGAGGCCTTGCTCGTGTTGGGTCTTGGGCCCTTGTGCCCAGTTCAACGGGACTACAACAACTTGAGGACTATGTACCTACGCATTATGCTGATTCTGTACGAGGTCGAGGATCCGGATGTCCTTGTATGCTTGGATGTGAGGAATTGTTCTTTGCTCCTTTGTTCCGTGGCTCCTTTGGACTTCGCCTTCGGTCTGACCACTGACAAACCGGCCAACCACGCTCCAACACGCTTTTCTGATTGTCTTCCGGCCACCTCGATCTGATTGTTCCACCTATCTACCTGCTTGTATCTGCTGTTGAAATAGACTCATGTCGAGTACGCGTGTCCAAGTTCAGGAGACTTTTCAAGTCCCTACATACACCAATCCAAGCTACCCAGTAAAATCAAAATCTTGAACACGTCGCTCGCACACCATCACTTCTACGGCCTTGCCTTGCCGACATTATGTACTCAGCTGTGAGATTTGGTCGCATTACACAAATTGGCTGATACTTGCCCTCACATCATATCCAGCCCAACCACTGCCGCCGAACTCGACAGATGAGAGACCGCCCTCCTCAAGAGCTGGAATACCTGAGTGCCGGCAAATCAAACATCGTGTACGGAATCGACGAAAACAAAGCCATTAAACAAGACACCACTACGACGACGGCGAAGATGTCATTGAGCGCCGCATATATAAGCGGTTGGGCTCACATCCCCGCATTGCCGAATATTTCGATATGATAGCCGACGCCCTATTGTTCTGGAACGAGGAGAGGCCCAGCGAACAGTCCACCAGCGGATGATGCGCGAGGGAGTCCCGGCGTCGTTATGCTGCAAAATCCACTAGATGGGCCAGATCGCCGAGGGATTGCAGCACCTGCACAGCAAGGATGTTGCCAGAACGTGATCGTGGTCAATGAGGACACTTCAGACCAGGGTAGATGCAAGTTGATCGACTTTGAAGGGTGCGGGGTGGACAGTAATGCCGCAAACTCGTGCTACGAGTGGTTCAGCTGTCGACCTGCGACGCCGCGGATCAGCGAGCAGACCGACATCTTCGCGTATGGGTGCTTGGTCTACGAACTTGTCACGGGTACGCCACCTTACGGGATAAATGCAAGGACGCGCGACACAGGGACCACGACGTCGAACAGCTCTACCTGGCCAATCGCTTCCCGGACCTGGCGAATCTGCCACACGCTTGTTGGCACGGTCACTTCAATACAATGGCGGATGTGATTCAGACGCTCAAAGAACTGGGTAATGAACATACTGAGTGAATGGCTCAAGTTCTCAGTCGAAGTTAGCATTGAATTCCATGCATCGATGGACTTGTCCCAAATACTCGCTCCCTTCTCGACCCTTCTTCTTCTGCCTGCTTACTTGCTGCTCAAACATGACTGCAGGATAAGCGCCGCTGCCTCTTCCAATGTCTCCTTAGCTGAATCCTGCCGAGTTTGTATGATTCTGCCTTCTATGAGACTCGGATTGACGTCTTCGACCCGCCCTATTGCCTGTTTTCTCGCTCAGCAGAGCGCCGGAGCTGGAGCCTTTATAGGTCGCCTCGAACCACCCCTTACTCCTCCTAGGATGCCTGTCAGACTGCCACCGGCTCTGTTGCCTCAGGTTGTCAATAGCCACCGTGTCCGAGCTCCTGGAGACCAAGACTGTTTGATGTCTAACCACTGGCGCACCCTCCATCAGAGAGAAGCGAGGAGAGGCCCGCATATTCTTGAGCTAAAGCGGCAGCCTACATTGATACTCCTAATGCTTTCCGGTGTGCTAGTCGTCCCCCGACCTCGTGCGCAGGTCGGAGTGTGCAGTGTAGTTCCAAGCCTGGTAATTTCGTCAGCAAAGCTGCTTCTGATTTTCTCATCAGCCCAGAAAGAGAGCGTTGTGTGATGCACCATTGTTGTCCATCTCGTCTTCCCGGTTCGCTGTGACGGTGCAGTGGAGATAATAGCCAGGACTGACTGTTGCAACCAGTCCGAGCAGCAACATGAGGATCTTCATGGGAGCGAAGTGTGCAGTCATCGAGGGCGAGGGGTATGGTCATACTTGTCACGGGCATTGAAGTCCACTCCGTATGAAATGAGCCGGCGGACGAGGTCTTTGTCACTGAAAGCATGTATTTAGGTCGTTAGAATACATCTTTTGCCGGCAAACACCCATCACCGGGCTGTAGGTACTTCCAAACATCTGAGCATTTCATTGATTGTGATAGGTAGCCTTGACGTGGAGATCATCCGCCCCGGGAAGTCGGGTGATGTCGTCCGGGCGAGATCTCACCGTGCTAGAGAAGCTGTAGATGGTAGATTTGGCGCCATCTATAGGGCCCTCTGCGGGACGACTCAAAATCTGTGCCATCGAGCATAGTGTCCATCAAGCAACGTACCAGTGGTGAGGACAGCAGCAGCCACTGCTAGAAGTCCGTCGAGCCGCGTTGCCAAAGAGTGACGTCGGACAGAGAGCCTCCAGGCTCTAGAATGAGGGTTAGATCTGCGTTTGTCGCTGCGGTGCAAGGTTGGGGGCCAAATCCATGCCTTGGCAGGTGACAGCCCGAAATGGAATAGCGGGAATCTTAAAATCACCGCGACATTCTCTCTCTGCAAGCCAAGACCATTTTACAGACCCGTGTATAGCAGGCAATTCTACATGCCACCACAATCCAATCGTCTCTCACACCCTCCTCAAATGTCTCCAGCCCCGATGTCTAGGTTTTCCTCTGTGGTCTTGACACCCATCGCTTGCTCATCCAGCTTGGATTTTGCGTGCTTCCACATCGCTGATGCTTCGGCGGCCCCAAAGGCGTGATTCCTCGTTTACGAGTATATCCTGGCCTTCAGAGCGGCTGCAGAGGAACGAGGGAAGTGCTGAGTACCTCGTTGACCTCCCCAGGCGGCGCAATGCATGACTTATGTACTTGATGCTCGTAGGATCCGCGCGCATATTCCCCTCAATGCATAGCCCTTCTGCCATTACGTCGAGTCTCGAGTTCGAAATGGCATCGTCTGCTGCAGCGTCCTGGAGTTTGCCACGCACACCAGCCCGCCATTATGCATGGTCTGGGGATTTACTTGGGCATCTTCGAGCTGTCGGTCCAGCTGTGCCTCACGATTATGTCCAGCATCTTGAGCCTGGCCGCTAACACAGCGGGAGCTAGGGGAAGGAGAGACCAAGTTCCCGTTTCCCATCTCCGGGGCCATGACTCACACGCTCGCCGTGGTGCTGCTGTCCTCGAAGTCGTCGATCTGCACGTCCGCAGTCAACACCTCGATCATGCGACCACACAGAATGAATATTACGGTCAGAGATTTGATTACGGTGATGTCTTCACCGAAGTTCTCTCTCAGGGCGGCGATGACGTCGACGGCGTGCCGTGCACGATCTTGGTCCCGATCGACCGCTCGATGCTCCGCATGTTGGCGCTGCAGTCCATATTCGCTCATTTCCCCAGCACCAAGGTCCGCCTGATGATATAGATCACGAGCGAGTTGCAGGCGAAAGCTAGGCATATCTATCCAATGATCTCGCTCGTGAATATGTCTATACTCGGAAACCCCAGCCGCCTCAACAATAACGACAAGTACTACTCCACGACCATGGGCCTGGACATCTGGTTCAACATCATGGTGCCCTTGGCGACTATCTTGAAGGCCCTCTCCCTCTTGTCCCTCTCCTGCTGCTCGTTCCGGACGACTGCCTTACGGGTCCTGTACGAGTACGTGCCGTCGAAGGTCCACACGCTCTCCACCGTCTCGTTGTACTTTGTGGGACGTCCACCATGACAGAGCCAGGCGCTTGTAAGACTGGGGAAAGACCCAACGCCCAGAACATCGAGACAGATATGAAGACATACTGAACATGAACATCTTCATGATGCTGGAGCAGATGGCGCACGTCATTAGAGTCGGTGGCGTGGGGATGAGCACGACGGACTGATACAGATGGACCTAGCTGTGTTCGGGGAGATGATGATGACAGCACACACGTCGAGACACAACAGGCACACCTTCCCCACTCAGACACATGACCTCCATCTCGTACGAGAGGGTGCCCGAGAACCTAAACGCGATCTCCGGCCACCTCGAGAACACGAGGCCGGGTATATCTTCGGACACGAACAAGAACCCGAACGTGAGGTACAATGAGGTGGCATTTGCGAGGGTGCACGATCGTATTCATGGGAGTGTTGTTGCCTACGCAGATGGTGACAATCGTGCTTATGCTCAGGATCTTCTCCGTGTGCATACACTGGGATCAGCGTGTGCCAAACGATCATGCTTGCGAACACGCTCAACTCTGTGGCCATCCACGCCATATCGACCTTCTACGTCAATAGAATCTCGAGGAGGAAGGAAATCTTGCTCAAAGAGTGCGGATACCTAGAGGCGCGAAGCTCTGAGATGGCAGCGTCAGGTTGTTGGTAAGAATCATGCAGAAGGCCAGGTTCATGTACGTGTCCGAGTACGGGAAGAGCCCCATGCGCAAAGTGAAGCCCGGGGTCGTCGTCGTGGCCAGGAGGTACCCGTTGCGAGGTACCTAGTCCTGCTGAGGTCGAAAGGAAACACTAGACAGCGCGGGATGATGAAATGATGGCGATGGTTTGGCGTCATATGACTATTACTGCGGCTCCCACTTCTACTTTTCTCCAACTCTTCGCTTAGTCCTCAGTCAAATCTCACAGCATTAGCTATAGAGAGGTCGGCCACCATTCTCCTCGGAACGATAGCGTTAGCGGAATCATTACGGCACCGCTTATTTCTATCCTACATACATTTCATAAAGTCGCCGGAGCTTCCCACTCCTAGAAGATACTTAATATAGAGCGTAAGAAGAGAATGAAGAATCCGGCCGGATAGCGAGTGAGAGATACTAGAGTAAGAAGAAACCGGAGTATATATACGAGCGGAGAACTAACCCTAGTACGGGATCTAATACTAGTCTGATGTTGGTATAGATTCCTGCGGTAGATTTACAGGCCGCACAATTCCAATCAATCGGCTGCAAGTGCTCAGGGGGTTCATACCGATCTGAATTGCACGAAGATACTCACTTGGACTGCTCGTTCGACGGAAGAAGTCACTCGTTGACTTCGTCGTCCCAGTGCATCTTGTCGACCGACGTCGGGAACATGGTTCTCTCGATCCTATCGTACTTGTCTGCGAGGAGGTTGGCGTACCAGCCAAGCCAGGACACTTCATTTCCGACACTCGAACTGAAGCGACGAAGACACCATCCAACGAGGACGCAAGAAAATCCTTCAAAATGGACTCCAACCATCCGAGGCCAGTAATAGTTGCCAGCCTTAATTCATTCGAGTCCAGAAGGCTGTCAACAGGTAAAGACACAAAAACTAAAAGTGGCTTCCTGTGCATCTGTCTGTTCACGGTCATTCAGAATGGTCGTATTGATTGATGAACTAGTACCAACCAGTGCGAAAAGGTCTTGCGAGGAAGGTCAAAGTCCGGCGGAGAGGATCATAGAGGGAGAGGCCGAAGACGTTATGAGTATCAGACCAGCAGCAGAAGAAGAAGGGAGAAATCCCTTTCAGCCAAGAAGCGAACATTCCAACGAAACCAACACTCAACGTCCCAAAGTGGTCACCGCGCGCATCGCAGTTTGCTTTCGGCTTGGCGTCAAAGTCTTCAGTGGTTGAACGCGCCTCGTCTGTGTAATCTTTCGACCAAGATCAACCTCCACGGACACGACACCTCGGAGTCCTTCAGCAACAGACACATCCGACCGAGTCTTTCATGGGAGCATTGAGTGAAACTCCTACTTCGGTTCGAAATGCAAGCCACATTTGCAGACTCTGCCTGCCTCTTAAGTGACGCCGTGGAAAGCAAGAACTGGGACCAGATCATCGAGACACCCTTCAACATTCAAATCCTTGGGGGCGGGATTGATCAACTCCGCCTCAGCCGGCCTACTTCCAACACTTCACATTGGACATAAATTTCAAGTCATGAATGGCTGGGCAAGTGATCCGCTCCGACCTAGTCCTGAGGAGTCCTCCGCTGTCCTCCACGTCTCCCGACGCCAATGGGACTCACTCCTCATCCGTGCTTCCTTCTTCTGCCTCAATCTCAGTAGCCTCCTCCACCAAACACCAGCTCTCCCAAGCCGCGCAAAAACCGAAGAGCTAGTCAGTGACACCTCAATATGTCCCGAGGGATTCTCGAGCTGAGGCCTTGACGCGCCTCTGTGTGATCTCAGCGGAAATATCAAGACATCAGCACTGCAGAAAATCATTATCGGATCGGTTCTCCTAACTTTTTGCTACCTCTCAAACGATTTACCTTCAGAGGGGTCGGGCATTGAGAGATGTCATCGCACGAGCGTGAACGAAAACTACCTATCCGCCTTTCTTTTGGGCTGGGCTTACGTGCTTTACGCACGGCTGATCGAGCTGCGAAAAGAGTCAGAGCAAGACCATATCAGCTACGATGAAGAGAAGGCTACATGCAATACCTCTGTGACTCTGAGCAATAGCGACAGTGAAGTCTTCATATCTATCGGCGAAGCAGATGTTGGCGAGTGTCGAATGGTGGGCGGCCGTCCTGGCCAAAGGGTATGGATGGCGCGCTGCTCTCAAACGTTCTGGTCGAGACTTTATCCCATGTGGTCATGCCATCTAACGAGTGGTTCTCCCCGAATCCAGATCCGCCATGCTCTGCTGAGGAGCTCTTCGCCAACGGATTCCCACCCTCCAGCCTCGGAACAGGCGCAGCACTATCTCTACAAATTCGCCAAACTCCACAACGCACATGACCAACTCTTGGCCGCATTATTTGCTGCACTAACAATACCCGAGCAAGGAAGATTCGGTGCTCCCATCACCCTCCCTCGGCTAAAGTCTACGCACACAAGACGTCAGCACATTAGTCCAAACGATCATTCACCATTGCTCAGACTTTTGCCAGGCAAAGACGACCTACCACATTTCATGGCATACAGCTGTGTCCCAAAGACAGCAGCATCTTGCATGCTTGGATGTCTTTGGGAACCCAGCGTGACCTGCAACCTTGCGGGTGAATGGCTAGTTCCACCCGTGGAAGAAATTGTTCCAAGTCTGCTGAAGGAGCAGCGACACGATGTTATCGTCCGCATCATGCCCCAACGTTGGCCGAAATCTGCACCACTCTGGTTAGGGTCCACAATCACCAGCCTACTGCCCAGGTTGTTTGAGATTGCTGGGAATTATCTGCCATCAATATCTCTTGAATCCACTCAATGGACTCAGTCTCCTCGGTCGTTCATGGATCCTTGGTACCACCGGAATGTGCAGCGTTTGGAGGACAGCGACGGTTGCAAGCTGATTCGCCGCGAGGATGAGTTTCGCCTGATGTACCTAACTGACATTGAATCGAGCCACCATGGGTCACCACCATTATGTCCCTGGAAGCCTTTCGGGACAACGACTCTCAAAAGTGCTGCAATCGAGGTTCAGAGTCACGCTTTTTGTGGGCATCGTTTGAACATATAACAACTGGGTCTGGCAAGGATATGGGCACGGTCACGTAACCGATACAGGAGTCATAGCCAAACAAGCCAGATACCTGACACTAGGATTCAATCTTCGATTTTCTCACTTACTGTATCGACTCCGACTAAGAAAATGTTGTCACTCAGCGTTTAACAACGGCGGACCATAGATGGCACTAGTTGCTTCTCGTGGTGAGAGCTTGTCTTGTTCGGCTACACGGAATTTGTTCAACTGGACATTGCGGGATGAAACTAAGCCTGAAGAACCTGCAATCTGGACCCATGAATGGCTCGAAGATCTAATCGATACTCTAGATGACGAGGATGTCGAGGATGACAAAGTGGGCAATGATACTTCAGATTGATCGGTGGTGCAACCCTATCAATTCTCCTGCAAAGTTGATCCCTCCTCACCCATGATCAACCTTTAACAACAGATGCCTTGAAATTGACGAAGATAGTGTCAGTATATAGCATAACTAGTGCTAAGACATCGATAACATTTATGCCAGCACAAAGGAATACTTACCATGAGATAAGAGCAGTAACCCGGCCCTTTCTGCAGTACAACACAGGATGGAGGCGACACAAAACAGCATATCGGCCATACTGACAACAACAGATCCAACATAAGACAACGCTCCGCAACCATATCTATCTTGCTTGTCCTCCCCGGGAAGTGTGGGAGGAAACTGCCAGTTGGCATCATGTGAGCAACGACAACAGCAACGACGATTGCGGTATTGCTCTCTGGTTGCCAGCTGAATTAGACAAGTCCATGATCAAGGACACCGCAGTACAAGGCAAAGGATATTGCCTGTTAAGATTCTTTCACGGATTGTGTATTTGAAACCAAGATTGGACCCATAGTCAAACAACCAGAACGTTGGAAGTCCGAACAATGGGCCCAGCTTCCAAATACATGTTCGATCGAATGAGCATTCTGGGCGCTCAAGATACTCAATGTCATTGTGCGGCTTCCACATGAAAGTCTTTCAGTAACGCTGGTCAGTCCAGGTCACAAAAGGTCTCCTCATCAATGCCACGAAGCTCAAGCCAGCGAATACGCCGGTAAGGCTGCGGGCCGCACTCGTCGATTCTTCCAACATTCGCTACATTCAACGCTGGAAGGATCACTGCCGAGAGCAGCTGTGCACGATACGTTTAGACGACAGCATAATTAGCAGCTAAAAAGCCCGTCAGTCGTCATGTACGAGGTCTATTCTGTTCAAGAATTGCGAAATTGGTCGTCCAGCGATAGCTCAGGTTGGATTGAACGGTGCCATCTATTCGGGACTACACGTTAGCGGAAACCAAAGTCCTTTTCTCACTCCAGTGTTTCCCATGGGAACCGAAACCCAAGACATATCGGCGAGTTGCAGAACCATGTGCACTACGTTCGCGTCAAAGTCAAGATCATCCGATCGCTACTTGCCTCAGCGGGTCCTACAAAGATCCACGTAGCACCAATCGGACCGTTGCCAACTCCTATGTCTCAAGAGGACCAATCCGATCAGGAACGACGTGTTGGTTGATAAATCCGCGGTGATATCGTCCTTCCGAGTGCTTGCCTTCCCGGACGGTAGTGTCGAAGCTCGGTTCATCTCCTTCGACCACTCCTGTGATTGGTGTATCTTCCTGGAACGTGTAGAGCACCAGGGCAGGGGAACGCCTTTTTAGAATTCTTGATTTTGTTCAACTGGGATCATTCTTCAGCATCGAGATTCACCTCGAATCCCTCAGCTACGCCGGTGAGGAGAGCCAGAAATGAACATCGCTTCTGTGGTATCGTCCTCAAGACTGATTTTTTACTGTTGTGGCTGTGACGTCTAACGGAAGCCAGATCATCTCGGAAAGAAGAAGAAATAGACTCGTTACAGGTCTCAATTCGCCGCGCATTCTACACGGACTTTGATATTCTTCCTCATCGACGTCCATCGAGAGAACGACAGACATTACGAACGAGCAGGAGCAGGGCCATAGCAGTTTGACCGAATCCCAAAGCGCCTTCGCAACCTAAGCACTGCTAATCGCGAATGGGGCTAGAGGGATTTGTATTCCGCCTCGCCCGAGCATGGAGATCCAGTCCACAAGGGTCAGTATTCGCCATGATACTCCTGTGGGCTTGAACTTTCTTTCAGCCGTGTCATGCATGCATGATGGATAATCTATGCGAACGTGACGACAAACTTTCCCAGTCCGCCGTGAGCATCGTACGTGTGTTGACAGCCTCGACGAACGGCCTCGATATCATCGAACCGGGCTTCCGTGGTCACCGCCTTGACGAGACCCGCGTTGATGACTTCACCCGCTCGTTCCAGCCTCTGCCTGTCCCACGGCTTGCTCATGATCATCTCGTAGTGGACCGAAGTGCCCACGAGCCTCCACAGATACCACCACTGCAGGAGGTCCGCCAGCCAGCCGATGACCCGGGGCAGCTGGGGAAACACGGGTTTCATGGAGCGGCTGTTTGGGATCCCGGAGGCAGTGATGAAGACGCCCGATTTTGGATTCACTAGGGGGAAGAGGTGAGTAAATCCCCACGGGGCATTATAGACGACGTCAACCGAGCCTCGGGGCACCACCTTCAGGATGTCCTGCGTCTTGTAGTCGATGACCTTGTCGACGATGCCCGGTGTGTAGGTCTCGACGAGCGGGACTTTGGGCGTCGAGACGGTCGTGAGGACTTTGCCCGCGCCGTAGACGTTCTTTGCCAGTTGAGTGCCGACCGAGCCGAGCGCACCCAGCCCGGCCGTCACAAGCACTGTCTTCCCCTCAATGGTCTCGCCCTCGGGCATGTGTCTCAAGGCCGTCTCGAACGCCTCGATCCCTGGCATGGTGGATCCCAACAGGGACGCCGCTTCGACGAACGTCAGGTTTGCCGGTTTGCGAATCACAAACTTCTCGGACGCGAGGGCGTACTCGGAGATGAATCCGATATGTTCAAAGTCTGCCGTCTCCGTCAGCCCGTGGATTCAGTGCCCCAAACCTCTGGGGGTGCAAGTACTGCTCGCCGGGTCCGATTCCAACATATACACCTCATCCCCCGGCTTCACAGTCTCGACGGCCGACCCGACTTGGACGACGACGCCCGCGCCTTCGACGCCCAACTTGATCGGAAAGCTGGAGGAGGTATCAGACAGATTGTCTCATCTCATCTTGTCCATCGCTGCCTCGTGAAGATGAAGAAAAGGCAGGACTACCTGAATGATTGGAAGAACCTGAACGCCCCACTGGCGAGCTGCGTGTCGCCCGGGTTAACACACGCGGCGCGCATCCGGACCAGCACCTCGTGTGGCTTCTTGAGTTCGGGCACCGGGAGCTCGACCACCTCGTATCCAGCGGGGGTGCAATAGCGTGGCGCGACGAGCGACTTCATTGTTCGGGGGACGTGGACGTTTGGATCCACCATTTTGAGCTGTGCAGCTAGTTCGACAAGGCGGATTCGACAGAAGATCTACTCCAGAGTTACGTAGAGGGTGACGTGAGGTGGAAGATGTCTGGTCTCTCTGTAGTTATCTCAAGGTTTACCAAGACTTTGCTCCCTGCCGCCCAGGCTCCAGCGAAAAATGAACCCCGAAACAACCCGAAACAGCCGAGGTTGCGCCGACCGCTCATCGGGATTTGGAAGAGCCCGACCGCTTTGTCAGCTAGTACAAACCTTAATTCTACAACAAAGAGAACGTACATTTCTGCCGCACAGCAGCGACGCTTCCTTTGTCCGCTCCCGGCGTAGGCTATATGAGATCAGGTGCTAGCCCGGTCCTCTCTTGGACGAATTAGGGTCTTCCCAAATCTCTGAGATCACTTGTCGCTGCCGTTTGCAGCACATTCTAACCACCCACACGCACGTCACAGGTCTCATGATCAGCCTGGCCACGTACATACAAGATATATCGTGCAGTCAGGGGTTCAAGTAGTTATACACATACACATACACAAGCTGACTACGCAGGCAGTAATTGAGTGCCTTGGGGGTTGAATTTTCGTTGCTAAAATAAGTGTCTTGTAAGACAATGACCTGCGATCTGGTGAGAAAAGTCCTTTGAAAGAATCATCCCCGTGCATGGGCCATGTGCGGGAATGCAGTACGAAGGATCATCACGGGCTAATAGAGCCAAGTTCACGGTGCAAGTAGCGGTCACGTAGTCAACTCCCGGAGGCAGGGGACAAGAACAGAGAATCATTGAACTGTGAAAGCGACAAGGGATCGTTCAGGCGTCCAATCTGACTCCCATTGTTTCTGAAAGACGACGTTTAAGAACCTGCAAAGGCTCATTTGGTGGCTTGTCCCCTGTGGGTGATTGTCTGAGACGTCGCTTTGCTGCTGATGAACAGAAACCTACAGCGTTTTGGTAGATATGCGGTCAATGATTAGGAGGTGGTCGAGGTTGAACTACGAGGAATCTACCCCAGCAGCAAAGACCTGCGTTGACGAGATCTGGTGCATTGAATGCCAGGTGCGAACTTCTGTCGCCGCTACTGTTTTAATGTCAAGGATTAGGACACGGTCTGAGACGGGCTGCGGGCACCGGTGGACACATCGATCCAGGTCTCTTTGTCCATCCACTACTCGTTCAATTGAAGTTACAGCGACCGGACTGTCAAGGGCTGTACGGGCTACACTGGCGACAGAGAATGCTTTGGTGCGACTGACACGTTTTAACTGCTCAAAATATCCACGTGGCTAACATTTCACGACAAACAAGTTGGGTTAAGAGTCTTCACATACCTCTCCGTGATTGTAGGCAACGATAGAGGCAACGATAAAGGCAGCGATACTGCCTCCAGTAGCGTCTCTGCATATATTCTCACCATTTGTCTCTGTAGAAGCTGGATACTTTCAACCCTTGTTCTTCAGTTCACAGCTTTGAATGACAACTCCAAGGAATTGAATTGTGAAAACACATTGCAAAGTTGGAAACTCGTCAACTTCCGCTCAAAACCTCTTCCTCGTCCCTACTCGACACCCCGTGCCCAGTGCTAGCAACCATCAGCTCGATGAGTTCACAAATAGAGGCAGCCGACGACGACATAGTCACCCCGGCTGACACTACAGACCAGCAACACGGTCCCATCCCTGCTCTCCTCCGTCTTCCCAATGAACTACTCCTCGCAGCCACGAGTTTCCTCGAGCCAGAGTCCCAGCTCCTCCTCGGTCTCTCGTGCCAACAACTCCACGGTCTCATCAACTCCAACTTTGACTTGACGCTCGACGACAAAGCCGAAAAGATACGGTTCCTGCAGCTTCTGGAGCGCGACCACCCGGAGTACCTGACATGCCGATCCTGTGCGAAGCTATTTGTCTGGCGTTGGAGGAAACCCTTCGGCTACGCCTGCCCACATTCAGACCGCCACTCAGACGAGGATACACGTCTATCACATCCCCAGACCATCAGAGCGGGAGATAATCGTGCCATAGAAATCACGCGCGAGGTGGTCGACTTGGCCTTGCGAGCTGACGGCCTACCGATCAATTTCTTCAAGATGAGCGGGGTTGGTCGGTCCGGTGTCTTCCAAAAGACCGCGGCGCGACTGATAGATGGTCAACTCTTCGTGGCTACTCGACTGGAGGTAGGAATGGTGCCCAGCAAAAAAATTGAGGTAGGAATGATGCCCAGCAAAAACATTGCGGACATAATGATCTTGTTGGGCAGAAACTCGTGTCACCATCCAGACACTGCTCGTCGAGTGGAAGAAGGCTTTAGAAATGCCGTCAGGACCAAGCTGACACTCGAAATCGTATACAAATGTGACTTCTGCGAGACGGACCACCATTTGCGTCTGATCGAGAGGAAAAGTGGCATGAAAGTCGTCCTTCAGGTCTTGAGAAACTATGGTCGCAGACAGGAGACGAGACCACTGGTTGACCAGATCTTTCATCGAGCTCCAGTGTCCAAACGTTCTTTGGGAGAAAAGTGGGAGACGCTCTACGACGCACTTGGTGAGACATATTGTGAGGACTTTGTGTTGTGGCTTGGTGATGGTCAGTGACCGGTCTGTGACTCGAAAGTTCTTTGTGGCGAACTCTTCCTAATGTGATGAACAGGAGAGTTTCGTGGAGCATTGTCCGATAAAGGGGTATGTCTCTACCGGAGGTGAAGGTGGGAGGCTTTGTTTCATTGGTGGCTTGTCCTTTGACGCCTTTAATACAAGCGCGGTTGAATTAGACCAACCTTTTTTAGGATCTTTCGATCGAACTTCAGCACTGGCACTTGTCGAAACGAGGGAAAATCGTGTACCGAGCGAGGCTCGAGATAGCGTTTAGGAGTGGTAATCGCAAACAAAGCCCTTGTCATACAATTCCGGAATTTAGGGGGTGTGAAGAGGACAAAGAATCTCCCCTCCCTTTATTCCGTTTGCGGCGTCGAGGTGGGCCTCCACACGCGCTCTTTGTTCAAGCATGCCGATCGTTTGTCAAGGGGTTCAAAATATTACAATGGACAGAACAGAAAATGCACACTTTGAGCTCAAGTCCGGTCCATCCAACGAGGACATGTCGCAATCGATCCCTTGATATACCAAGGTCTACAAGGGTCCAGGTAGAGCCCAAGCCACCATCACCACTGTCGCCGCCCTTGCCGAGGAATGCATCTCCTCCTCCCACGGTACGACGATCGAGAACAGTCCTCGATCCAGAGACTGATACCTCTGACAGACCAAGCCATCGCCTTGGCCCAAGTCGGCGACCACCGAGCGGCGGAGGAGCTGTACCGACGCGCTCTCCGCCTGAGCAGGAATCTCCTGGGCCACCGCCACCGAGCCACCCTAACCAGCATGAACAACCTGGCCACATCGCTCAGCAAGCAGGGGAAACTGCGAGAGGGCGAACGGCTGCACCGCGAGGAGCTGGAGCTGACGGTCGACCTCCTGGGCGAGCACCACCCGGATACGTGGACCAGCATGGGTAATCTGGCGGCCGTGCTGGTGGACCGGGAAAAGTACGGCGAGGCGAAGCGGGTGATGGGCCGGGTCGTCCAGATCAAGAGGGAAGAGCTGGGGGAGGATGATCCGTCGACGCTGTCCAGTCTCGAGATTTTGGAGTGGCTTTTGGAGAATCGGTGACAGGACCGGACTGGATAGGGATGTCCTGTTTGACCGGGGGAGTGGTGCTGGTCATAGAGTTACACGTAGACTCTGAAGCAAGGTTGGATTCCCCCCTCCATTTGGACCTTTACCTTGATCTCAGCCACGTGAGCGATGATAAACCTGCTTGCTTATATGGTGATTAATCGAATAGAACGAGCGAATCCGACCGGGAGACAAACCCTGAACCAACTCATGCCCTGCTGCAGTAGGTGGGGAGTATACGAGAGCAGGAAAGCAACATATCCTTTCCACATTCTCTCATTTTCGCCGTACCGCCATCCGTGCTGTCTGAGCGAGATCCTACCGTGAGGCAGTATATCTGAGCGAGCAATACAGAACGCAAAGAATGTTCTCATGGACGAGTCGCGGTTCTTCGTTCTGCGGGAGCATGTTCTCGTCTTGCGTGAAGCAGGCGCAGGTCATCCGCTCAACCCATCAGAAACCTGATGCCATCCCTGACAGCGAAGAAGGAGAAAACACTCACTCACTCACACACCCACCGGAATTTACCCACGCGCGCGGGAGCTCCTTCAAAACTTTGGAACTCTCAGTTTCGGAATTTACCCATTTTCGATGATTGGGGTTCCGGCGCGTCAATCAGACGTGTCGCCCGACGTGAGCATACCAAAATCGAGTGAGGCAGTGCGTTGGCCAAGTAGAAAACTAGAGGTCAAAGTGTTGCGCAGATCCCAATGGCACAGTCTCTCGCCCGCACTGACGAACAGAAAGGTATGCTTTGAGCAAATTCGTCACAGGATACCAAATTCCGCGGTGTCCTTGCTTGAAGCGGTCGTCCAGACTGTGCGAAAAACAAGGGCAAAGCCCTGAATACTTTCCGAGCAACTTGTTTGAACTGGTGCAGACATCTGTCAGAAAGAAGTCCTGGCTTGACCTGTCCCAGAGGCACGAAGCGTAGAGGACATCGAGTCCGAAAGCTGACGAAACGGTTCACCGTTGTCTGATTCCAGAGATTCGGGCTTTCGACAGTTGTCTTGGCATTGACTGGTTATTGCGCGTATCTGTGGGGGAAGGGGGAATGAAAAAAATGTGAGAACAAGAAGGGTCTCTGTTGGCATTCCGCTTGAGCCATAGCTGAAATCGTTCCTGCCTGAGAAAGGTAAACGCAATTGTCGTCGTCGTGGGAAATCCATTTCATGTAACCTTGTGCTGCTCGAATATCGGAAAAGACCCGATGTACGGTGGTGGCTAGCCTCCAGGAGTTGTCGTTTCTCCACGCAGAGAGCAGGACGTTTTCCAATGGTGGTCTCCAGCGTCTTGCAGCTTTCCGTGTAACGATACGCTGCTGGATCTTCCAATGAGGTGTATAACCTGAGCGCTTGTTACATAACTTCCGCTTAAGAGTCATCGCCGGCCTCTTCCCATATGTCTCATAGCTGGTAGAAAGAGAAGGCTGGTGGCTGGGTGTGGTATTGGACAACAAGAACCTGCTATCGGAGCAGGCAGTCCGCTGTTTGTGATTGTCAACGATTCCGGTTCGCAGGGGCACAGTAATGTATCAGTTCCGTGACCGCGTCCACGGTTGGCGGCCATTACGACAGGTCCTTGTCATTTGCAAGCCATGGCGCGAAACCGAAGAAACCTTTGTGCAACACTGGAATAACTACCGATGTGTCCACGACAGGATTAGCCGGCTGTGACATTCAGGGGTGCGACAAAATGCTTTCTCTACTGCGCGAGGGTCCAGGGCAGTGTGTTGGTTCCGTTCAAATGCCAACTAAGCGACATGCAGGCCACAGACGCAACGGAGGATTCGACGAGGATGGAGTTGACTGGAATCAAGTGTGGTAGTGAACTGGGGCGAGGCTCTTAGCCAGAGGTATCAACTCGTACGGCGGTGGGCATAGTGGTAGGGGTAACGACTATCGCTCAATAACAATAACAACAACATAGAAGGTCCTGATTAGATAGGTTCCATGACTAGATAGATAACTTGATTGCTCTCTACCGTGTCTCACGGTGTGTCCTTCTCAAGGAAAAAGAAAGGGAAAACTCAGACCTAATGCCCGTGTCCCCACCAACCAATGATCAAGAGTGCCTGCCTGTGCATTGTACAGGCCAATTCCACCAATCACGTTCCGGCTTGCCTTTCTCCCCCATTACAGTAGGAAACAAGGAGGCCGGAAACACTAATGAGAAATTTCACTGTAAAGGCGGCAGACAATCTATTGATGACAATATAACATGCAAGGTGTGAGTGAGGAGATAGTGCGGATGTCGAGTATAGTTATGCATCACACTCAAGATTGGTCATTGAAGTGTGCCTCTCCAGCTCAGAAATAATCGAACCGAGATCCGGGCGGAGTTTGGGGGATTCACACATGGTGGTTGCTGCAATCTCTCGCAGCCATTGTGACCCTGGGTATCTCTCCGCAATCTTCAACATCATTTTACCATACGCCCAGATGTCGCTCCGCTTCTCAGCTTCGAGCGAGGCCTGCGATGCTTCGAAACGGATCTGCGGTGCACGCCACTCGTACGTGACTCCGCCAATGCCGCTTATATCAATGACGACTGCGTTCTCGCAGTCATCGATCACGATGTTGCCGGGCTTGAGATCCGTGTGGGCAATATTTCTTGAATGCAAACTCTGGAGAGCCCGGCAGATTTGAAGGGGCCAACGCTGCCAGTGCAGATCGGTGACTGTGTTCCTTTTCAGCCACTCTTCAAGAGTCCCTCCAGGATAATACAACATGAGAATACCTCTCATCACAGGTCGACCGTCTGTGGAGGGGATCGTCTGATATGGATTCGGTGAGACCACGACAGCTGAGAGCTGGGCAATATAAGGAGTGGAGCGGAAACGTTTGAGATTCTCCAGTTCACGTTGAATGACTGCGGTATCTTGACGTCGATAGAATGGCCTGTCAATTGTCTTGAATATGTAGGAAGTTCGCTCGCCCCGTTGATGAAAGCGGCCGACGGCACCGGTAATGTCTTCCTCGATCTCTAACTCTGAGAGCCAGATCGTTGGTGGCCATTTTGAATCGCTGGAATACAGTGGATAGAGGATTCTCTCACCGTCTTCGTAGATTGTCACCCGCAGTCTGCGATACTCTTCGAGAAATCTATTTCCTCGAGTATCTTGGATATCACTTTGAAGCAGAAGGTCCGTGATTGCCCGATCCAGCAATGCTGACTCTGTAGGCACAAGCTTCAATTCGACCTTGGTCATGGTATCGTCCAGAAGAGTGAGCTTGCCGATTTGGAGACGGGAGATGAAATATCGGAACTTATCTCGTCGTCTGAGTTTGTGCTTGATCGGGTCTTGCGAAAAGCGACTTGACTTTTCTTCCGCATCCCCTTCCGAATTAAAGGCAACAGTGACATGCCAGCGCGAATTTTGACAGCTGAATATTACGCGTTGTTGTCGGATGGACGGTTCAGGGTCTCCGGTGCATAGGAACGTCTGATCTTCGGTGTACGAGAGCAATTCAATGCTTGAGTGCAGCATTGCGAAATATTGTCGGGAAAAGAAATGGAAAAGGAGGATATTTTATGTGTAGTCAACACAAGGATTGCCGAACCGTAATTTACGCGCCACCGTATGGGTCAGATATTGACAAATATGATTCACCGTAGTAATCACGGGGAGCGGAGTGATTACCATTTTGAGCAGCAACCGCACTCTCACCGGGCACAGTCACATGATAAATCATGTGATGGAATACGCCAAGACCCCGCTAAAGTCAACGTCTCCCCTTTTCAAAAGGCCTCCTCAGTCAAGATCGTGTCAAGATCGTCCCCATCTCCACTAGCTGTCATTCATCAACCAGAAACTTATGACTACAGACGTTTGTGCTTCCTGTGTTGTGGAAGATGACCCCGCCTTACCCGTCGTTTCAACCTCCGGCCGGAAGTGGCTTGGGATTGGAGTCTCTGGCATCGTGTACCCTCTCGACGAAGACACTGTCGTCAAGGTCGCTCCGACATGGGATAGCGATTACGCCACCAACGAAAGTCTTGATGATCTTCAGATAGAGAGGCTTGTGTATCAGCATCTGGGGACCCATCCCCGAATATGTCGATATATCTCATCTGTTCAACGAGGAATCGTTCTCGAGAGGTTTGGCGATCCGCTGCGAAAACGGCTAGTAGAGCTTCATGGGCGAAATGAGTCTCCTTCACACAGTCAGGCCCTGAAATGGTCAATGCAAGTGGCAGAAGGCCTGGCGTACCTACACCGGAAAAATGTCGTGCAAGGTGATATCGGCTGCCACAATATACTTTTGAAATCCGACGAGGTCAAGTTGTGCGATTTTGGCGGCTCCTCGATTCACGGGAAACCAGCCAAAGTCGGTTACCAATGCCGATCTCAACGTTGGGACGATACTCATGAAAGTCCATCTATTCAAGCCGAGCTATTCGCACTCGGCTCCACCATCTACGAAATCTGGACGACCACAAGGCCTTTTCAAGACGAGCCCGACGACGTAGTCGAGGAGAAATACAAATGCCAGCGCTTTCCGGACGTCGAAGCCCTTCCAGTAGCCGGCATCATCAAAGGGTGCTGGTATGGAACTTATGATTCTGCAGATGAGGTTGTCACCGCCCTCAAATCACTCCAGACCGAACGAACGGTAGCCCCCAACTTCACTAATGTCAACAATTGGACAATATTTGCTACATTTGCCTGCGTCGTCACAGCCTGCACTCTAGCATTGTGGCTCAAGCCACATGCAGCTGTAGGCACTTTTCGAAAGAATCGGTTTCAACGGTATTTCTGGGGACGTTAGGTCTCTGCGGTCAGACAGCGGACTCGGAGAAACTTACCACAGTGGTTTCTGGCCGTTTGCCTTCACACACCGGACAATCCTGGTTGCGTTTTGTGGAACCAAATATAACGCCCGGGAGAGGAGTGGCATCTCGACATTGACGTTCCAGCCCTCTAGGATTCGGATTGGCGCAGATTGAATAGACTCTGTTCGTCACTCGGTGGCTCGCGGTACAACGGGAATAGACAAAAACTGTGTCAACACATGACTTCGGAAATAGTAGCAGAGACAACACAGTCTGCGTGGCTCGGGCCTCAGGTTATATGCTCGGCGTTGGTTGTATGTGCTTCGATCGGAAAGATGAAGTAGTAAAGGAGGTCAAAACTGACTGAGGACTAAAGGGAGGTTCGGTCCGTACCTAGAGAATGTTTCCACTGAGAATTGCCTAAGATCAGTATAGGTGCACTGGGGCAGTTAGCACAACTCTGTGATGAAGTGATTTTCCGGGGAAATGGCTTTCTCTCACGATAGTCTGAGAACGTAGCGCCGTGTTGATCATGTGGACCTAGTTAGGCATCCAGCTGGTGTCGGCCATTCAAGTCAATTGGTAGCACTGGTAGTACAGAGCGGGCCTTGAGAGATTTTTGCTACCACTCAACAATCACGGAGAGCGGGATGACCACCATCTTGTGGGACAATCGCCGATGACCTCTAACAGTCTAGGACTCCTGTAGTGATCACAAGGTGTCCGTTGGAATCAGTGAGAGGTTTGGACAGCGGTCTAGTGCTTGGATATGGTTTGCTCTTCCTGTGGCAACACTGACCAGGTCACCTGACCACCCTTTGCGCTGCCTGTTGCTCTGACCCACACAGCCAAGCCTTAAAGGAACAACCAAGTAACTTGAAGGCTTTCAGTCGTGAGACCCCCAGGGTGGTGCCACTATTTCAAGCACTTGGACACTGATAGACCGCTTGAAGACGATACACACCATTTCAAGTCACTCGGGAGCTCTCGCCGTGGCGCGCTTGTTTTTCTGGTGCCTGCCTCTGGGGTACCTGCGAGGTAGGTGGGCGGGAGTTTGCCATGTCAGTCCCGATACTTTGCTGGTTGCTGGGTCTCCCGACGCAGCAAGGAGCAAATATTCAGATGTTTTCCTTTGCTTATATCACATACTCGCGCTCGCATCTTCTCGCAAAATGTCAACATCTTCTCAAAGAAGCCCAAAGTCTATCCAGAAGAGTTAACTTCCGCTCGATTCCTGGTCAGAGAGAAGAGGAGAGGTTGGGGGGCAGACAGCTGGTTTGTCCTCGTTATTTCATATTTCAAGAAACTGGAAGACCCCGGACGTGGATCGACAAAGTCTGGAAGAGCATTGGTAAGGAAGGAAGAGTTGAGCCTAGGGAGAGCCGAGGTAGTGATACTAAGAAGTCGGTGATCATTCGAAGAATACACGCTCATTCTCCTCGCAATGTAGTGTCTCCAAAAACCTTTTGTAGTAGTAAGTAGCTCTCTTCCAGCTGCTTCGGTGCGGTAACGTGTCGATATCGTGTTGGAACCTATCTTCCTGACTGTTGAGCTGGGCCTTCCTTTCCTGTGCTGCGGAGGTGTATTCACGACTGATGAGCCCCTTCAAATCCATGTTCCAGTGGAAAATCAAGATTGTGCAACATTGAATCACCCTTTCTATGAGTTTTTCTCGGCTTCGAGGTCACCCAGCAACAGTATACAGAGCTCCTACACAGAACAGCGACGTCCGGAGCGACCACCAGACATTCCGTCTCGAGAGTGGCACTCCCTCGAATATTCCTTGGCCCTGACAGTGGGCAGATGCATGAACGTCGTTGCGGAGTTGCTTTTGAACATAATCTGGTACATGTTCGTATTCGTGCTCATGCTCATTCTCATGGTGGTGAAGGGACTGTGATCCTCGACAGCGTTGACCAATGTGCTGATGTCTCTGAAGTCATCTCCATAAGACGCTCTGGTTCGAGGTCAGGTTCACCACTGAAATCGAACCGTCGTCTCTCCCAGCGACTAGCCATCGGCGATGGTCAGGCGCCTGGCGCTGCCCGCATTCTGCAGTAGGGTCACGCTACTGCGGTGGGACTATCCAGAGTTGTGCCCGCCAGCACCGTGGCGATCTTAGCCTCGATTGCGCTCATTCTTCCCTTCAGCTCGGAGTCTCAGTCGCCAAGTGGATTCTCAGCTTCTGCGTCGTCGTTCCGGGTACGTGACCATGATCTGATCATGTACATACTCAGGCGCCAGTTCCCTAGTGGTGTCCCAGCTGTCGGCCACGTGTGTGGCCTTGTGCATATTGTCCATTGCGTTCAGGTACCACCAGGCCGCGACGACTAACCAGTACCTGTCGACAGCGCTAGGCCTTTCTGGATCGTGCTAGTCCCAGATAGGCCTAGCGTGGAGTTTAATCACACAGCCAGAAATCACACAATGATCACGACCGACTCCCAAGTAGGCACCAAGCCAGCCACATTGTGCCGCATGAGCACGAGGTCTCTGTCCTGTACCAGATTCACGTATCATAGAGCTCGTGCATGCAGTCTACACGGCCTTGGAGTTGCACCCGAACTTGTTCATGGGGCTGAACAGCGGCATCATCATGAACGTTTCTCAATGTGCTCCGATCTGGGCTGCAGTAACACATCCGGTGTAGAAGAGGAGGCGGTGGCACTCCGAACGCGCCTCTCGAACTGCAACATGCACGTCCCGATGAACGAGAACAACGAGAGGCCGGCTCTCTTCGACCTGAACCTCAACATACGCACGTTTCTGTGCGGTCAGTTTTGTTTTCCTTCTTCAAGATATTCATTTTGCTGGCCTCTTCCGTGTTATCCGTCTCGCTTTGAGTGCTGACCAAGGATCGACCCCGACTGTCTTTGTATTCGTGGGCGTGTTCGTGTTTGTCAGCTTCGACTGGTCCATCAGCGGATTCGATGCCTCGTTTATCTTACCGGTCGCGTCCACCGACCCGCACGCCTGCTGCTTCATGGTCGATCCGTGGTTTATTTGTAATAGCGGAGCCACAGGCGTGTGCTTCGTACTCGTACTCGTACTCTGAGATCGTTCTGGGCACCCTCTACGACCTCGATCAAGGAATGCCTCGATCATTCACTGTCCGGCCATTCTCCGTGTCTGTCATCCCCTTCTCGCAGAAATCCTTGGCCATCTCCACGAACTCGTATCCGTACACGTTGCGGACCGGTCGTGCTGTTCAATGGTACCAGATCCTTGAACGTGGCTCACAGAGCGATCTTGTTCAGCGCCAACCTGGCGAAAATCTTCTGTGGCGATAGGCAAAATTTGGATCTGCACCAGCCAAGTGCGAGCAGTCGCTTCAGCGCCGAGATTTCCGGGATAGCCATAAGCAGGTTTCCCATCAAGACTCTTGTTTCCCTCTGGTTGGCTGTCCGAACTTGCCCAGGCTGTGGTGCCAAGCAAGTGATTGCTAGAGCTGGCTCCTGCTGTCGAATTCGAAGATGCCCCAGGTGTTACATTCGCGCCCGTGCTCCTGGTCGTCATCGTGTCGTCATTCGTCGTGTGCTGGTTGTTCTCGCCCTGCCTCAATCTTGAGAAGAGGGTTCTAGCTCCGGACCGTGGTCGCCGACACTGCCATTCTGTTCTGTACTGGCACGGGCCTCGGAGTGGGTGGTAGCCGCTCGTGATATCGGTCGTGTATCCGGTCGTCTCTGTCCTCGAAAACCATCTCCATGGACCATCAGCGCGCCAATTCTGGTCCTCCATCGTCGTGATTGTGATACAATCGACCTTGATCGTGGACCGACTGACTGCACCGTGCTAGGTCTCGTGGCGTCCATCATGTTTCTTCTCCTGGGACACTGGGACCAACGCTATCTTTCCGGCCACGCCGCGCTGTCTTGCTGGTAGTTGTCGTCGATGCGGGCTCTGTCGCGGCCCAGTACTGAATTATGTCCACATCACTATTACACTTGCTGGCTTTCCCCGCCTCTCGCTGATCAAGATAGACAGGCTGGCTCGTTCACCAATGCATCACTTCAACTAGCGCCTATAACAGGAGCTAATTGGTGTCCAAGACCGAGTGCTGTCTCACGGGGTTGTTGGCGTTAGCTCCCTCGGGACATAAGGGCCCGTTGTGCGTCGTTAGTCAACGACGTGAAGGAGACGTTCTATATCGGTTCCAGACCCTTAATCTCACCTCATTGAGAAGTTCGTCGCCGACATCGATCCAGGTAGCGGACGACTGCGGCCCGTGGGCTCAAGCGCGACACCTCCCTGACGTGGAGGTCGTAGTAGATCTTGATGCTTAACCCGTACTTCATATTCGCGAGGTCACCATCTCACGCTGCACCAGACTCGGACTCGTTGCCTGGCGAAATGGCGATCGGGGCCGCGAACAGAGACGCCTGCTCGACTGCTCGTTCAGCATCTTTATGCCCTCGTATAACTTGTGTGGTCGTTTTTCTTGCCCCAATATCCACCCCCGATGAGACAGACCAGATTTTAGCCTCATGCTTGCACGACTTGATTCTTTCGCACCATCATGAAGAGTGGATATGTATCGATATACTTCTCGATAGCGCGTGGCATAGCATTGTCTCTGATTGTCTGGTAAGCAGCGAGCGATCTGGCGAGGATGGAAGCAGTCGGTGTCGGTCTAACGGTCGAGGAGACATGACCTACCTACCTCAATGTCTGCGTGAATGATAAAAAATAGCTCTTTGGAAGAGGAGGAACTGATTGGGATCAAGACAGTGAATCGTACGCAATCCTGGTTCCGCAAAGATGGCATGACGATGAGCTGGTTTTTGTGTCATTACCTGGGCCGAGTTCACATTCAATTTGAAGCAGACCACGATGACGAGCTGGTAGGAAGGTCTCTGTTCGAGGATTCTGCACAGCAGCAGTGCGTGTCAACCCTCCCTTGATTGTTTATCAGGTAGAAAAGCAGGCAATTCAAATCGTCCTGGCCCAAGCTCAGGAGAGAAAGTTGCGAATTTTAATGGTACCGTCACTGCTTCCTGCTTCCTTGTTCCTGCAACCCAGCAAGGGCAAGTCATGATCGATATCAGCATCGTGGTCTTCTTCACACGTCTTTCGTGTTCGTAAATAGTAGAAAGGATATCCTGGGTGGGAGGATAGACAAACTACGGCAATCCGGGCCACCTCCCTACCACGGTGGAGTCACAGAGCCAAGTACCGGTACCGGTACCACCGACATCAAAAATCACTAGCATATATGTTTTCTCTCTCCAAATTCTGTCACGCAAAGACCCCCTTCTCCACAGCAAAGGGCGAATCCACGAGTTCGAGTCACGGTTACGGCAAATCCAGGTCCTGTCAGGTCAAACCTAACACCGGGTTAGCGGGCATCAGGACCTCGATTCAAATCCTCCCTCCGAGATTCCGACGACATCAACCACGTAGTATAAATTCCGTAGTAAAACCGGGCGAGAAAAACCAACTCCGCAAGGAGCGAGTTTTCCTTGTCACAGACCAGTCGGTTGAGCTGTTCTGTGATAAGTTTTTTGCCAGTCTGGTGGGAGATCTATGGAGTCAGTTTATTTTATTTTTCTTCCTGAATTTTCGTTCGGGTGTGATTGTGATGAAAAATGCTGAAGTAGGTTGTCCGAACGGGTCACTGCTCTGGAGATTTAACATTGGGAGATTACGGGCGTCGTGTAGTTTTTGACCGTGATGCATGTTTTCAGTCACTGATACAGGCAAGTTGGCTTCAATTCAGCTGCATTGTTGTTCTGGATGCCTCTGCTGGCCCTTTCTTAAACCCTGGCTCTTCTGTCTCCTCTCAGACGTCACTTCTCACTTCCCACAACCGATATGTCCTAGCACCGTGGAAAGAGCCATCGGCATCCCTCGCAGACCTTCATCAGTGAATATTCCACGAAGCCGTTGTGGTTGTGTGGCTTTATTCACTGATAAGTCTGTAGGTTCCCTAGTCAGTTCATGGGGCAATGATGTGAAGAGCCACGATCAACCAACCGCCTTCCCTTCACTCTCAACGAATCTTCTTTGTTCTTTCGTTGACGTCTTCCTGACTTTCTTTCCTCTGTGCTCGTCCACAATTCAACTTTTGACACCACGTGCCTCAGATATCAACTCCCTCGCTTTTGATACCATGGCCTCTCGCCTCCTTCTTTCGCTTGTCATCGCTCTATTGACGTTGCCCATGCTCGGCATCCAGCTGCAGGACACGCTCGTGAATATTCCCCCAGAGATTGCATACCGGATGCAGGTCGCCGTGGATGACTGTGTGGCACTCGCGACATTCGTTTCGGTGACCTTTGACGAATGCGACCCGGTGTACCTGCGATTCTTCCCCCATGACGATGCCGCGTTTGTTCAACAAGTCTTTCGCCGAATCGCCAACATTCCACTAAGCGTGGTACTCGGCCCAAATGACTTTGCCACCATCATGCAACACCGCGCTGCCATCGGCTTAGATCCGCGGCTGGTGGATCTGGTCATCACGTACGGCAACCACCCGCAGGGGCAGATCCAAGACTGTGGGACCGACGAGGACCCTGAGGCGTTCTTCGCACTGTTGAATTCAGGCCAACCCTCCGTCAGTATCTGCCCGCAAGCTTTTGAGAGATACCCGGACCTCATGGAGATATTAGACCCACCCACTTGGGCAAGAGATGCACAAGGACACCCGGACCCGGGCTTCGGATGCGATGGCCTGGGCGACCACGACTCGGAGCTCATGTGGTGTGTGGGCGCGATATTGCTGCATGAGATCCTGCATTACCCGGACCTCTTCAACGACATCCCCCAGTTTGACAAGCTGATCAATTTCCGCGGACCGAGACGGTCGATCGGTGACTTTTCAGGCCCCAGTCCCCCGAACGGCTACGGCCCGTATTACTCTCGCGTCCTCCAGTTCCTCTCTGCTGTCCGGCCCAGTGACTACGGACCGCACGAAGCCATCAACAATGCAGACAGTTATGCCACGTATGCCTTGTCGGTTTGGTGGAGGTGGAGGTGTCAGAGACCTTTTCGGGAGTCGGTCACGTCGATGGACGCTTGGCTTCGAGATCCGCCTCCACGGCCTTTTCCACCACCACCACCACAACAGTAATGGCTCAGCAGGAAGTGGACGGCGCACCGACAAGTCAAAGGTCCAATGATGCGTGGAGTCGAGCGAGATTGAGACAGACGTGGGTTGTTGTCGGTCAATAATCAAGTACTCAGAGCGACGAATGATGAGTATGTCTGTCTGTTTCGGTTACTTTGGCGTAGAAGACCATAGATATGGGGAAGACACGGACGGCACATTTGTATCAGCACCAGGCACAAAAGAAACAATAGATATGGAATAGGAAATGCACGGTACACTGTGTCAGTATCAGGCTCGGAAGCTTTCCAAAACAAAACAAAACAAAAGAAACGAGAAAGAGTGAGGGCTAGACGGAGAGAAGTATTACTGTGATCACGCAGGAATATCATTATACCTTGAACCCGGAGAGATCATGATTCCCGTTGCTTTGTAAGTAAGTGACGTGCTTGGAACCCCGTGCTTTGCATGGTATTAAAGGTGTTGGAGCTCCGCAGGAGGGAGGCCAGGGTCGCGTGAGCAGGCACAGCTTGCTTCCCCAGTGCGCAGTGACCAGATCCCTCACCTTGCGGTGGGTCAGTGGGCATTGACTAAGGTGAGAGTGTTCTTTAAGTCCCTTTCCGTTTCCAGGCCTGAGAAGCAGCACAGCTCTGTAATCACGGACCCGACTCATGTCCAAGCAACTCTGATGAGGTTCCCCCAGTGCGGTTTCGTAGTCTGTAACCAGCCCTGAGAATTGGCCTTGATTGTCCGAGGTACGAGGGCTCAACAGAACATGGAACATTCTGTGGAGAAGATACCAGTTGTATAACACCATCTCTTGAGCCCATGTCTTGTCTTGAACTCGTGCTTTGTCTTGAAACCTCCTCTTGTAGCCATCAAACCAAGACCCTTTGTCCGCTCCAGCTCGCTGGCAGAACTCCAGAAGGCCGAACCTCGGGTCCGTCGTCATTCCGACGTCCGCAAGCTGAGAGTATTCAAGCGATCTTGCAGACGTACCAAGGTTATATCTCACGCTCTTCGCTATGTAGTGACCAAGGGACAGAAGTGAGGAGGGAGGCTGAGAGAGTCCCCTTGCGCCGAAAATGGGACGGATGGTCCTTGCCACTCCCAGACAACGGACAGGAGAGAAAGGACGACCTCGATGAGGCGTGCAGTCGAAAGCAAGTCATCTTGAAGCATCCTGCTCGGGCCGTTGCCCTCTCCCGTCTCCTGCGGCAGCACGGCATACAGAAGGTCAAGAATCTTCCAGCAAGCAGGGAGACTGTCAGTGGACAATAAAATGAAGAGAACAAAGAAGGTCTCTCACGTGTTTGTCCACGTGCTGGGTAGGCAGACCAGCCTTGTCGCTCCGTGTCACGTGCATATTTAGTGATTGTGTAGATACAAATATCCGCCGTGGCCTTTGTTTTGGTATCGTTTTGGTTTTATCTTCCTTACCAACTCGCGACAGCAATGCAGAGCCTTCCTCACCGTCGCCGCAGCGATGCTGGCCCGCAAGCCGCATCACAAGCACAAGTCACTACCACAGACCCCAGTCACATCGATGCGACAGAAAGACCCGCTTTGTCCTCCAAGCAATGTGACAACAACACGGATACGCTCTCTCACACGTTGCTGTCTTTGGACCACTCTGCTTCTAACTCCTTGAATCCCCCCCTCACTGTGCCTGCCATTTTCAAACAAGTGCAGGACCGCCAATCCGGACGGGTTCCAGGCACTGAGTGGAACACATATCACGTAACCCCTTCTGAATGGGCAACCCTGCGAGAACTCCTCGAAGGCAGTGACATCTGTGAAAAGCTACGGTACGCACAGACACTGACCACCAGCTAGATTGTAGCTAATGCGGCAATTTTTTAGGGTTGATTATTTCTCCCAAACTGAGGCCTTTGTTCAGCGAATGCCTTCCTTTACCCACGAGTATACCTCTAGGAGGTTCCATGAGCTCCTTAAGACAGGTTTAGCCTCGATATGCCATGGTACACCAGAAGAGGGGCAGTTCATGAAGCAAATTAGGAGCGGTGGCTCCAGCGACGTGGACGGCGTCCAAGGCCCCAGCATGCATGAACCAGATGATTACATCTTCTGTCGTGGCCATCCTTTCTATGGTCTTGTTTTAGAGGTGGCATATTCGCAGAAGTCTAAAGAGCTTGAGAACTTGGCCCGGTTCTACCTTTTTGAAGCCGATCGAAATGTTCAAAAGGTCATTGGCATCTCCATTGACTATGATCGCTCCAAGAAAGTTACTTTGCACACTTGGCAACGCGACAGTTCCGACACAACCACTGGTGGTCAACTTCAACACTCCCTTCAAGTTAGTAGCTCGCCTCCCACGCTATGATACCGCCACTGACATTGGTGCCTCAGGAAGTGCGAACCGAGACTGGCGCGTGGGTCCCTGGTCCTCCTCTCCAAATTTCCGTGCTCGACATAGCACCACTGCACTCTGTCCCGTCTTCACTCTATGGCGCAACCATTCAGATCCCGCTGGATGAACTCTGTGAGGAAATCGAGTATGGGGAACGCACAACCACGGAATTCAAGGAGAAGAGGAAGGCACGACAATGTCAGAACTCGGATCCCTTGGACCGCGATGATGATGACTCTTCCCAACAGTGTGAGAGCGATGATGACGCAGGCACGGAGAGACTTGATGAAGACTATGTTCCAAGCCGAGTCGGATGCAAAGGCTCTGAGCCCGGTGGGTCTCCAATAGGAACCCGTAGCCGTACTAACGGCGCATTCGACAACTGACGGCGAAGGGGTCCACCGACATGTTGAGAGGACTTCTTCGAAGCAAGTGCTGGAGCCTCTGGTGGAGGGAATCTAAGCAAATGTGAATGGCAGGGCGTTTGTTCGGGTTCTGCCGGAAAAGTCTGGTCTGCGAGTGACTTGCGATAGATGGCGATGGCGTGATGGAGATGATGACGGTTGGATCTCGCATTCGACGCTCGACAGGCTACTGGCACCGGTAACACTGTGTACCTCTTCCTTCCGTACACAATGCACAACTAAGATATTTCTACTTCCACTGCTCGGATCGGACTTTGATGCACGTCCGAAGAATCCCGTGCCTAGCCAGCAAAAGGGTTTAAGACCCGCAGTGAATCGTCGCTACCGTCGCCGTCGCTGTTATCGTTGATCGAAAACCATGAACTCGACCAACCACTACAATATACCATTGAGTAGACTGAGAGTAGAAAGATCCCGGTGGATGACCAGTCTCTTGGACTCGAATCGAAATCGAAGTTGAGCGTTCATGTAGGTACGGTGTTAGATGGCTAGCTATGGCACATCCGTCGCGCAAGGCAGAGAATACAGTCAACAAGCAAACTTGTGTCTCCCACTGATTTTCCATTCTTATTTTCGTCCCTTTCAGTTCATTTGGCCCCGTAATTTGAAACCCCCCGTCATTTTGGACACTCATCACGGAGATTTCTCTGCCTGTCTGTATCTGTGGACTGGCGCCGGCGAACAAATGAAACTGCTGCAGCAATTATAAGACTGATCTGCTTTGATTGACATGGCCATGGCGACCGGGTGATATTAGGCAATAGTGCAGCATCAAAAAGCCAACCATTCGCCTTTGGCTATAGCGTCCGGTGGCGCGTCCTCATGGCACCGACAACCACAGACTCTGGGTAAGCATGACTCGGTGAAAATTAGTTGTGCCTGCAGTCCCGTGTCCGGGATACATGCAAGAAGCAGCCTTGCCACCCAAAGCCTTGCACTTGTATACAATAACTCCCCCAGAGGCTCCTGTATAGCAATTGTGAAATCAGGAACAGACATCAGGACCTCCAGGGAAGGTGTTCCTCGAGATAGTATCCCACTGGGGACGAGGATGGCCTCCATCATGACTTGATATAATCGTTGCAGTATGAGACAATCAGTAGTGGACGTCGTTTACCCTCTGTAGTTCCACCAGAAGAAGCTGTTCGCCAAACCTTCACTTTCCCGCCTCCATCACACATCGCATGCTGGAGAGAAGCCCCACTTTTTCCAACAGTGTTATTAATTATAACCGCGAAATCCCCTCCAACAATTGCCGGATCAGGTCTGCATCAATCTGTAACACCAATGTTCAGGGGTTCGACTCGAACTACCCTTGGTTTACAAATTTCCGCCACATGGTGGCGTGATGTATGGGCTCTTCCTGGCTCCACTACTCACTCACTAGGAATTGATGACTGCAGTCCGCATTGTTACAACAACAACAACGACAAATCAAGGCTCAAAGCGAGAGACGGGGGAGGGTATATTATGGGGTTGAGCGCTCACGGAGGAAGAAAGAGAAGGAGGACGAGCAGGAGGGAGTTCCGCTGCGCGATAGGAGAAGGGCTCCTAGAGTCCGGGAAACATCAAAAAAATGTGCCCATTGCACCAAGGGCTACATTTTCTCCTAAATGGAGTTTTTTGCAGTTTTGGTTTTTACATCTGGTAGTTGTGTGTGTGTGTTATATACTACGCCTACAGGAGTAAGTGAGCCGGCCGAGTGAATATACCATCTTCTTTACCCAGCTAATATCTGTCTGTAGTCATAACAAACTGATCCACCTGTGGAATGGATGGGAATTCTAAATCTTTCGCTTGGTCCTTTCCTCAAAGCTTTACCGTGACTCGTTAATGGAATTATGGGCACGGTACCACTATGTTTCTCATCTTGTTGACATTCCATTGTCATCCCGGCTACGCTGACCCTGACCCTACGCAGAGCGGTCGATCCATGGCTGAGATTCAACGGCGCATGTCGCGAGAGAAAGGAGGACAACAATTGACAAAGGAGAACAGATGGCAGAGCAAGTGTCTGCGGAAGACGAGCTATGTGGAGAGGTGGATATCGTTACAAGTCGAACTATCACTTCCCTACAACAAGGTTATCTTTCTGAGCGCAGCAATCCTCCCTTCCAGCTTTACGCAAAGATACATCCAAGGCAAGAGTTGAGACATCCAGTCAGCTGCAGCAGGCATGATGATCAAAGCAGAACCTGTGGCTAACAACGCAACACAGGCGTTCAAGCGCGTTTCGTGCAGCCTCGATACCGATCCGACAAGACCCTACCAGCATGCACTTCAAAAGAAATACCGATGCCGAGAACAGAACCTCACATACAGAGCTGCCCCTGATATGAATAGCACTGCACACACATCTCTGCTCCTGGGCGTCGACAAGACGGCATGCGTGATCTGGACAGCAACGGAGGGATTGGAAAACGGATTCTGGTTCCCAGCGCACCGAAGAATCGGCGGTTGTCGCAAGAGAAATGAATGCACGACACCGAACAGGCCACAAACAATATCATTTGTTAAAGCACTTGGAATATCTGTCAGCCATCAGTGTGTCGGCGTTATTCCCTCGATCCGAGGAGATGCGCCGTGCATACTGTGCCATAGCATGATTGAAATGTTCCCACATCGGCCACCACGACCACAACCTCGCTTCCCTCCTTTTTCCCGTTGCTCTCGTTCCAGAGTCAACAACAACCAAGAATCATCTGGAGATTCTATACTGACAGGCTCTCTCCCTCCATCCATCCGTGGCATGCACGGCCCGCTGAATCTCCCTTGGGGACCAGCATCGCTCTGTGAAAGTAAAGCTGAGTAGCACTCGACACCTTGCAAACATTTGGGGAGAGCTAGGTTCGCAAAAGAGAGACAAATAACCCGCCCCACTTGAGAACTTCTGTAAAAAAGAAGGAAAGGAAGGAATTAAGGGAGATGGAGGAAAGAAGGAAATGTGGACACGGGAATTTGAAGCTCCATTCCCATAATTTATCCTCGCATTCTTTCATTCTTGTATTCCATTATCCATTGGGGCACAAGTTCGATGGGTAGATAGGTAGATTATGTGAGTCGATAGCCGACACCAAAGGGCTGCACTGCACTTGCCAACATTATATTTGATCTCTCAATCCCAACACTTGAAGACCAGGTGTCTGCGTCTTTGTTCCTCCCCTTCCAATTCATTTGCCTCCTTGTTTTCCTTCCTTGTTTGTGGCTCGCCTCCTTCTTCTACCTGCATACATCCAGTGTGGATAGTTGGCATTCTCGCTTCATCAGAGACGGCCGTACCTAGCATCAAGCTCGTGAAAGTAGATCATGATGTCAAAACATCGATATATCTCGCCCATGGACATTGTGCCACACCACAGTTTGGACAGATCCAGAATGGAGCCATGGTGCATCTTCAGATCCTCTGTGCTTCCCGGGTTTTGGCGCCACGAAAATAACCAGAATGTACGAACATCTAGAGAATTCCTCCGTGCAGATCACAGTGGCCTGGATCCGTTGTCCAAGAGGCCGGCCCGCTCGAATGGAGTGATTTGCTGGCATGGGAGATTGTTGACCAGGTTGTCAATTGCCGCCAGATGCTCCTCCACATGGTCGTGCTCGTCTTTGGTGAGCGGGCTGGCTAAATCGTGTCGATTGCAGAATCGCGGCCGCCCGATCAAGAGTTTGAGAAACGGCTTATACATGACATTTGGGCCGATTCTAGCAATAGTGATTTCGGGGGACAGGTGCATGAGCTGCGCCATGCTCTCCGGCTGGAGAGTCTGCAGGCTTTGCGGGAGTTTGAAGAAGCAGCCGACAGCGCGGGACTCGTCGACCGAGACGGTGAGCTGATTCAGACGAGGAATGCAGGGTGAAGTCAACAGAGGCATCACTCTGGGAGAGGAAATATCCGTGACTCGGCACTAGCCTGAGGGCCTACAGGTCCCGCTGATGATGCGCCAGAGCTACCAGCAGGACTTGGAGCAGGGCCCCCTGCTCATTGTGGCCGATGTTACACGAACTCGAGCCACTCCAGAGCTCTGAGGGCTTGAGAATGGCTGCGAGCGTCATCGGATTGATCGAAAGATGTACCGTCGTCAACAAATTTTTCAACCCCGAAGACTTGGGCTGAGGTAGAGAGTCTCGTGCTCGTAGTCGACAAGAGCACATTTCACGTGGAGCCACGTCAAGCTCGGCGCCTCGGGGTAGAGGGGCGATCCAAACAGGTTGCTCGTCTTAACCGGGCATGGCGCAGAATCGCAACTCGGACAAGTCACACTTGGGCAGAGTAGCGCTCAAGGCAGTGAAGAGGTTCCCGTACCCCGCGGTTTCTGTTTTCACCCTCAGTGCGCGTAGCGAGCAAAGCTCTGGCAAACGGCGGACTGTGGCTTCGAAGCCACAGACCCGCAGCCATGAAGTATTGCATGGTCAGGGAAGATTTCCAGCGTTTTGACGAGGTCGGCTCGGTGCGGATATTCATTAGAATGCCATCCGAATGTTGGGAGAGGTAGAATCGCTGGAGAGGAATGGGGAGGTCGCTGAGCAGGGAGGCGGCGAGTCATCGGCACAGCCTTGGGACAGCCTCAGAGGAGCGCGAGGACCCTCCTCTATATTCTGGAAGCATGGAAGGAGAGGGATCAGCAGGGCTAATATACGCATGCTGAGCGATGAGGGGAGAAGTGGTCATGTAGCCAAGGAGGACGTTGCGGGGCCCGTTCGACATGACATTTGCGAGGCCGAGACGGGAAGCAGCTGAGTAGCTGAGTGATATGTCAGACCCTGGGATCTGTTGAGCATGGCACGACAGATACAGCTCTGACAGTACAGCTCTGGACAATACGTGGGCTTCCTCTTATTAACATTCATGTAGACTCTACTCACCGGTGTTGACGTAACAAATGTGACCGTCCAGGTGCAGGAACTTCCCCTCTTGCAATGTCAAGTAGCCGTGCCACTCGCTCGCTACTCATACGTATTGCGGGTATAGATGCCCCGGGCCGGAAATCTAGTCTAGTGTAAACTGGTCCAAACATCTTCATAGTGCTTACTATCTGAGATTTGGCGTTGCGGGCATGGCCTGTCATTTTCGGGTCGAGCCTCAACCCCCATATGCAGGTTTCTGGTCGGGGATCTTGCATCTCTGAGGCGCGTGATGGCTGCGTGGTTTGATCATAAGGCCACCTCGAGCAACCGCCGATCCACTGTCCTTCAGGATGTTGAAGTCCAAGCAGAAGAGAAGGGCACGGGAGCGTTTACAGTTGGTCGGCTGCCTCAAGCGCCCCAGAGGCTGGTCTCAACAGTTCGCCTGGATATTGAAGTGATAGCCCACTGTCGCTGTGGCGTTGTAGTTACATTCTCTGACTGAGAATTTGCGTGGCAGAGTGCGGCAATCATGGTAGTGAGTACGGCGAGTCAAGGTCAGCCTGCGGGCCTTGGCATCGAAGATTAGCCAAGGCAATCTATACTGATTGAGGAAGGTATATTGCTCGCCGACACCACTACTTCTGTCACTTGACCAACGGAGCCATCAACGAAGCCGGAAAAATATTATTCCAGTCGATGGAGGCCTCGGATCTTTGACGGCCCGACAGTTTGACCATCTCCGTAAATGGACTCTTGGCATTCTCAGCCTTGGCTGATCAGGCTCGCGCCCCCTGAATGCTGAAAATCTAAACGAGGTCCGAGGGTCTGCCTGTCAGAACAACACGGCTTCACGACAATGCTTCTTCTCAGGCTGACCACATGACGGACACGTCTGACGAGAAGTAGTGGGGTTCAGGTGGGACATTGACATGTTGGAATCTGGCCACAGACAATTCTCAAGGTAAAATGGCACCGTTCTCCAACTCCCACCGATTGATTTTTCTACCCGAGTCTGTGAACGAAAAAAGGCTCGTCACAGTTGTCTGTGTCCGGATGGAGAATGACGAGCTTGGAGAAGCTACGCGGGCAGTTGACACTGCTCCCCTTCATATGTGCCCTGGCTGACTGACTGACTGACTGACTAAACTGGCCAGATATCCCTCATTTGTCCTCTTCTCTCTTTTGGCCCTTGGCCCATGGACGGACCCCTCGTTTGCGCAACCGAGTCCTTTACTCTTTTGCCCTTTTTCCAAGACGGGCAGCTAGGCACATAGACCATCGTGGCGCATTCACATTAAATACAATCCATTGTTCTCTGTCCTCGGTTCTTGTTCTCTAGCTCGAGCAAAAGGCAGTTCACATGGCCAGCCAGCAAGCCAAGCCAGGCCTGGTTGTTTCTGATCTCTTATTCGTAGCATGGGCGAGGGCAGGTATCACGGCAACCATCTGCGCCGATATTGAACAAATTTTAGTACCAAGGTTACTTGATTTGACAACGAGATCATGCGGGCAGCAGCGCAGACAGTGAGCCCATCTCGTCGAAAGCCACTATGTATTCGCGCATGTATGCGTGTGTGTATGTATGTATGGCTGACCGACTGACTGAGCTTCAAACCCATCGCATCTACTGTAATGGGGGAGAAAGGCAAGCCGGAACGTGATTGGTGGAATTGGCCTGTACAATGTACAGGCAGGCACTCTTGATCATTGGTTGGTGGGGACACGGGCATTAGTTTTCCTTTTCTTTTTCCCCAAGAAGGACACACACACCGAGAGACACGGTAGAGAGCAATCAAGTTATCTATCTAGTTATGGAACCTATCTGATCAGGACCTTCTGTGTTATTATTATTGTTATCGAGCGATAGTCGTTACCCCTACCACCATGCCCACCGCCGTACGAGTTGATACCTCTGGCTAAGAGCCTCGCCCCAGTTCACTACGAGACGACACGTCATGCGAATTTTGGCAGGACACGACACTCGAGGAGACTAGCTGTCATCATCGCCTTGTGCAAGCTTGCCTCGTTAACGCGTGTGAGATGCACCACAACGTGGCATATCTGCGGATCCGAGCTTGTCGGTAGGTCGCGGCAAATATAGGAGGGGCAGAACTGCGATATCAGGAGAACCAAGGGAAGGACGTGAAAAGGGGGGGACGGGGAGGAGCGTACAGTAGATAGCTCGCTAGATGTCAGAGGAAGAGAGAAACAAGAGATACGAGATGGTAAACAAGTAAGTGTGTTGTGATGCGTAGTGGGCACTCAGAGGGCAAGGGCGACGGCGACGGCGACGGCATAGAAGGGGGTTACGGGAATAAAAAAGAACTAGAGCAACGAGAGTCATGGGCCATGCAGGATAAAAGGAATAGACTGACGGGCAGACACAGAAGAGCAGGTCTGAATGTTTTTTTGATTTTTCTCCCCGAGTTTGTGAACGAAAGGAAGCTATTTACTCTGAACAGTGTGCTTTGTTGGTGGTAACGCCGAGGTATGCTGACGCAGTGACCCTCAGTGACACTGTGTTTTAGAGCAACACTACGCAGGCCCGTATTCGCGCGGAGCTACCACCACCATCTCGTCGTCGATGTCGTCAACGACATTTCCTGGATTTGCTTTGTTGGTGGTAGCACCGAGGTATGCTGGCGAAGTGACCTCAGTGACACTGCGTTGTAGAGCAACACTACGCAGGCCCGTAGTTGCGCGGAGCCACCACCACCATCTCGTCGTCGATGTCGTCAACGATATTTCCTGGACTTTCCGCTTTGAATGCCAACTTCAGGTACTCGTATAGTTCTGCAGTAGAGATTTTGATCTCGGTCAACTCGGCTGGGAGCGCGTTGACCATGGCTCGGATTTCCTGAGTCGGTGCGAGGTAAGCGAGCGACAAGCAGAGACCGGCAGAGTTTTGGTTTGGGTGACCGTCGGCAGTGCAGAAGACCTAGAAGTGTAAAAAGGAAAGCATTAGTCTTTTTGTGCACAGGGTTGACAGACGAGAAGACAAAACTAACCTCTTCCTTCACGAGTTGCTCGACGTCGAGGCTCTTGCGGCCATCCGACAAGTCGGTCAATTTTGGGATCCAGACTGACAATGTCGCTTCGTTGCCTGCTGGGTACGGCAGCTTAAAGCCGACGACGCAGCGAACCCTTCCACCAGAACCAAGTATGTAATCCTCAGCAAGTCGGGGAAGGTCCTCTGCTCGCTGGGAGTGGGCCACTTCCATGACGACTCCCGGGAATCGTGCGCCCAGATACAGCAACGAGCCATCGGGGCACTTTTCAAAAGTGCTGCCCTCGACAGTCAGAGCGAGCTTTGCCGATGCGGTATTCAAGACATTGCCACCGAATCCATCAAGGGACGGATGTTCCAAGCGTGCAAGACCGTTGAGGATATCACGTACAACCGCAGGGGCGAAGGCCGCGTGAACGCGGGTTTCGCCGCCCATGGCGAATTCTTGGGTGAAGGAGGAATAGAAGGTTCTGCAGATCATGGTAGGTCAGTTTCAAATCGTCGCCAACTGTCAGGTCTGAATCTCTTACTCTAGGCCACGGAACGTGTCGTCGTTATCCAAGAACTCGGCGAGCTGGTTGTAGGCAGCGGGGCTCAACGAGAAGCGTAACCAAGTGTATGGCTCGACATGAGACAAAGCTTTGAAGTTTTTCACGGCACGAACTGCGTTGTTGAATTCATCTTTCACAGACAACAACAACGGCGGCGTGACTTTAGGTGGGTCAGGCTGCGACGGGGTGGTGGTGATGTCGTCTTGGGTGTGTGACTTTGGTGACGCCTCGGCGACTTTGCCTTCTTTGGCGTCCATCTTGAGTGTCGCGTATGATTTCGAAGATGATCAAGTTCAGAATGGATTGTTGTGGACGAATGTTGTTTGTGGATGAAAGTTGATCTGAGAACGAATTTCGAAATTAGTACTACATTTATAACTACGGTCGATCATGTCGACACTGCCTGGTCTCTCCGGCGAGGTACAGCGACAGCTCGTATATAGCACTACGGTCGATCATGACGTGATGGCCACTGCCTCGTCTCTCCAGCGACGCACCAACGCCCTTTGTCTTTGTCTTCTGCTGTGCACAGTCTTGACTGACGATTTTCACAAAGGGTCTTCCGTTCTCCTGGCGTCACAGCGACTAGCTAAGCAGAGTGCAGATGATGGACAGAAAAGGAGGCCAAGGCTCAGTATGCGTTGTTCCATTCAGATTACAGACCGGCAGGTAGAAGGTTCAGTTGGGCTAACAGTAGCAGGACAGCACCACAACGGATTTCAAGACACGACACATTTCCTAGACTACAATACACGGATCTACTTCTTCTTGTCAACGTTGCAGCCTGCACTGGTGGTCCTCGCACCGAGTGCTGGTACGTACATAAGGAGGAGGAATCGGTGCTCATACAAAGAAAGCAAAAGTTGGGGGACCAATGGCCAGAGAAAGATTGTATCGAGTCCTTGCTTTGCTAGATACTCGATACTCGATACAGGATGCGGACGAGTGACTCGTCACCTGGACAGCTCCCTCAGACACGGTACGTACGTGCTCAATGCTCAAAGCAAGAAGCGACGTTCTGTTTTCCGCCCTTTCCGCAGGTTTGATGGATGACCACGCAAAACTGGACCCCTGGTGCGGTGGGTGCACTATTCCATCCTGTTTGTCGCACAGTACCCCTTGAACGAGAGAACATCTCACTTGAAATGGCCCGGGCCGGCGCCTGTCTAAGCCATTCGGACTACTACTTGGGGTGGAATGAACAAAGTTCACGATTTCGACAATCTTTGCAAAGGTTGCTGGCTGGGCAGGGCAGGAATTCCATCCATGGCATTGCAATACTCGCACAAAGAGCTCTGCACGGCGCGCGCTTCTGTCTGTCTTGCCGTCAATTTGAAATGTGGAAAGACTTGTGATGTGCCACAGTTGATTGATCAAGCAAGTAAACATCTTCAGGGAAATGAGAATGGATAAACACAAGAGAAAGGAGTCTTGGAAGTATTGATTGCCAATTGTTACATCGCACACCCAACTTTGAATCATGAAATCCTTACTTCTCAGAAAGATATTGAAGTGATAACAGATGTTCAACTTATACATCTGGCAACTTTCACCACTCTGACCACTCTGGCACTCTTGCAGGCACTCTCATGTCGTTAGTCCAAGCTGAGAAAGCTTTTCCAGTCCGCCAGCCCGGCCAGTGTTTCCGAGAGGCGTTGAGAGAATATTCAACAATTAGATTGCCATGGATTGCAGAGGCGAGATATCATCTGAAGAAATATAACTGCGAATTACCAGGACAAGCTACCATTCAGTATATTTTAGACAGGATAGGTATCCTCGCTACCTCGGGGCACCGGCCTGCACGTTAACGCTGTGTAGCCGTGCAGCATACAAAGCTGACTCAATATCATTGCCACTGTAGCTATTGCTGCTACAAGACAACCGGCAGGCAGACAGCCATGTTGCGGCAAGAGAAGAGAGCGCGCTGTGTGACTCAATATCTCCGAGGATCTAACCTTTGAAACACAGCACGGTCAATCCATAGTGACCAGGCAACGCTGGATGTTGATTGACACGCGAGATAATGGCCCTCGACGGCGTTAGATCACGTGGCACAGTCGCTTGTCCGTCCGATCGTTAAACCCTCCGCGCTAACAAGAGGCCAGTTCCCACACCACACTCTCCTCTGGACGTATTGCACGCATGAACGCCCATCCCGGTACTCCGCGCAGCCCGTGTCCCGCGAATCATCTCGTCAACCGCGCTCTCAAAGAAAGGGCTTGATCAATTCAACTTGGCATGAGACCAGACAAGACGTCAAGACAGATATAAAGGCAGTCTAGTCTATACAAGACAAGACCAGGGCGGGCGACAACAAGAAAACACATCGCATTGCTATCCCTTTCCCCACAAAGCACTTTCAACAAGTCGGCATCATCCGAATCCCCCCTCCTGCACGCGCCATGCCTCGTCTTTTTCTGATTGAAGTAACCAGTTCGCACGTTTTCATTTCGGCAACCACTCCTGCACGTGCCAGCGCCCGGCGGCTTCGGACCTGAACTCTGTCGAGCATGCGCTGGTTAGACTTGTATGGATATATCATCCAAGTAGCCCGTGGAGCAAGCACTTACCGCGGGAAAGGTAACTCGATTATTCTTGGGCCTGCGCCCACGCCTCCATGCTGGTCCAGTAGGGATGGCATGCCGGGATCGGGTGGTTCGGGATGGCAGGATCGAAGGGGTCGTCGATGGCTGCCGTGGGGCCAAGTTCAGAATCAGGTTGCAAGGCAAGGATAAGAGCTGATGGGATGATCATGGTCGGGGCTAGCTCTAGAGTCGAGCGCGTCATGGGAGTTGAGGCGACTATCGAGGTCGAGGGCGTTATCACGGTCGACGGAGCCACCCCTTGAGCTGGCCGGGGCAGGTCCAAGTGCCCAGCACTAGCAGCAGCAGCAGCAGCAGCCGGGTAATATGTCCGCGGCCCTGTCTTTGGCCTCGGGGCGATGAGGGTTGGCGGCTGAAACAGACTCGTCTGGGCAGTGTTCCCATAGACAGGTCTCGCGACGTCGTCGTCATCTTCTTCTTCCAGATACAAGGGAATGCAGCCTTCGTCATCTACTGTCGTGACTTGAGGAGACGGATGTTGCTGCTGGTTTGGAAAAGCCTGTGTCGAGGTAGGATGATGTTTCTGATGAGGTGGGAAGGCCTCCGTCGAGATCGACTCGATGTATTGCTGCTGAGGCTGAAACCCCTGTATCGAGACCGGCTGGTTCCGCTGTTGAGGCGAACCCTGCATCGAGATTGAATGGCGTTGCCGGAGGATGGGAGAAGGATCCAAAATGCCCGGTCCAGTGCTGTCGGTCGTGTTGTCGGTGGGTTCGCACTGGTGGTAGACGCCATTCTGTCCGCGGGTCTCGTAGGGAAGATAGCCCGTGTTGAGCACGCCGCTGTAGTCGATCTGCACTGGCATCGTTCCCAGAGTGGATTGATTTTGCTCGTACGGCAGCGGTAATGCTTCAAACGGAGAAGCCGGTGTTTGGAATGCCAAAGACGAATTGGGTTGTTGAAGCGATGGGGCAGGCAGCTGTAAAGAAGAAATGGACTGTTGAAATGGCGGAGCCGGCGGTTGAAACGACGAATTGAGTTGTTGAGACCATCTAGACGGCTGTTGGAAAGGCGGGGTGAGCTGCTGGAAAGAAGAAACAGGCTGTTGATACGACGAACAGGGTTCTACAAACGAATAAGCTGGAGTTGGCACGAAGCCGCTCGTTATACCGCCATGAGGGTCGGCGTAGTAGCCATACCCATGCGTGGGTGCCGGGACGCTTGCAGGCCCACCGTACGCAGCGCCGTTGTTGTAGACGCCGTTGATGAGAGGAGGCTGTCCCACCGGCGTGAAGGCGGCGGCAGGAAGCACGTTTTGCGACGTGAACGGACTGCACTCAAGCACCTGGCGGTACAGAGTCCCCTTCGCCGTCTTGGCCTTGCGAGGGACGTAGAAACAGTGTTCCGCCTTCTCGCAATTATTGCATTGTTTCGCGTGATTGCACGTGGTCGCGATTCTTTTCTTTCTGCAGGCCGCGCACGCGCCACGGCGGTAGGACTGTGGACATGGTGGTTTGATTTGGATCACGGACATGTCTGACTCGTGGCTTGGTGACATCTGAGGCGTGGTTTCTTTCTCGGACTTGTCGTCTTCAGCCTCGACGTCTTCGTGGGACTTGACTTCTCCCACACGGAGCTTGGGTGTGTCTGAATCACCTCCGCCGATGGCGTTTCCGGCCACGCCGTGAGCCTCCCCCGACCCCGACCACGTCGAGAGCACCAGGGAGCTCCTTACCCTTTTCCTCAGCCTTGCGGCCTCAGCACGCATCTCGGTTTCATACCCCGTGATGTCTCGCTGCCGCTTCGGCGTTGCCGCGTGGACCGGTGATTCGCTCTCATCAGGTACCGCAGTCGTGTCATTAGAGAGCGGCATCCACCAAGCATAGGTATTGTCCGGGGGCTCGCATGCCTTTTTCAACAGTGTGCACCTCCTGCACGGAAACCCTCCATCACAGCTTGCCTTTGCGTAAAAGCAGCCGTCACATATGTTCCGGACATTGTGTCTCCGGTCGAATGTATGGCAGGTGCATGCGAGGTTGGATTGTTTGCACCTGTGGCACGGATATCCGCCCTCGCACCTTGATCTTGTCGTTCTGCAGTTGTTGCACGGCCTCCGATCTGTGACGAGGTCCACGGGGTTTGTGCCACTGTATTCCGGCTCTGTGCTGGCCCCAGGTACTGGGTGGTCCGCTGACTGACCAGGCAGCGTTATGGGTTGCGTGGGGTCTTAAAATGATTTGTTAGTCCACTTTCATGCGTAGATCTCCAGGGGGAATAGTCAAGAAGTACGTACCTGTGACAGGCGACTCTTGGAAGGAAGATGCACCAGACATGGTGTCCCTCCAATCGGCTGAGCAGCGTCGGAAACAGGAGGGAGCGCCGCTGTCAGCGCTTGGGGAAGGAAAGCGTCGAAGCTATGGAGGGATAGTCAGGGTGCGGGCCGAGGCAACGTCCACACGGCGAGAGGCACAAGGCGAGAGGCACAAGGCGAGAGGCAGCGCCCGAATTGCGCGAGGCGCTGGGCGAAAGGACGGGTCTGCGTGTAATGCAAAGTTTGAGGATGAAGTGACAGCTGAGCAAGAGCGTCTATTCAGACAGATGGACGGGACTAATAAACCACTTGATGACTTGATGTCAGTAGAAAAAGGAAAAACACTTCGCCCCCTCCTCCCTCCCCGTCCCCCCGGTCATGGTGTGCGGATATATCCTTCTCTGCCTGCTTGGAGGAGCTGGCGGTTGCCATGGAGTGCACGCAATCAGACCAGAACAGAACATATCAAGAACTCAAATTCGACGTTGGGCTATTCGGATTGGTTGTGGTGTGATGGTGTGGTATACCGGACAGGGGAGGGGTATTTTTTGCTGCAGGATCCCGATCGGGATCTTGCAGGAATCGTGGGGCCTGGCAACCTCTGGGATGCTGTCGAGTATGGGGGCTGTAAGCCATAGAAGCATCATGGCCTCAAACACTGGCGCCACGTAGGTTGCCAACGCGCTAGGAATAGACAACACCACCGCGTCTCCCTCACAGCCATTGAGGCGGCGAGTTTTGTTGTAGAGTAAAGAGCAGAGTTGTCTTGGCCTCATCAGTCAGCTCTACTTGTGATTGGGTGGACAAAATGCCAGTGACTCACCATCACAGCATCCGTTGGTGTGAGTCGTCAGGTTCTGAGTGACAGAACTGCCCCACTTCCCTAGCGCCAGAGACGATGCCATTCAGCCTCGCATAATCACAGCACAGCACATCAGAAAGCCGGTGAGTTCGTAAACAATAAATGGGGCGGTGGTGATGACTGGGACCCAAGGAAAGTTCTTTTCCCACCCGGAAGCTAGGAGGGACTTTCCGTGCGGCAGAACCGTGCGAAGAAAAGTCAAACCGAAGGGAGAGGTTGAGCCTGACCGGGGAAGGGAACGGGCGCAACGGGGCGCAATGGGGCGCCCAATGGTACCAGAATGTTACACTTGCTAGCGCAGAGCTTGGAACAGTTCTCGCCTGAATTCAACCAGGATCCCGATCGTGATCTTGCATGCCCTAGTCTATAAAGGGATTAGTGAGACCGCATCGAGGCTGCCAAGTCTGACTTCCCTGAAATCCCCATCCGTTCATCTATTTCCCCCCAAAGTCGAGAGAAGGGGTTGGATGCGCGACGCTCTGCTCTCTGGGGCGATATTGTCTGCCTTTGCCCAATTATGGGTCGGTTTTCGTGAGGCTGAAGCTGTACAAAGTCTAAAAAACGTCAATCAGAGTCTCTAGCTTGGGTTTGGGTGTCATATAGCTAATAACTCATATGATTGGAGACGTCCGTCCATCAATCTGGCATAGAGTCCGTTGTCGCTGCGGGAGCTATGAGTATGCTGCCGCATCGTGCCGCATATCGCCGCCGTTCCTGGTGTGTTGTTGTTTCTCTGCCAGCCTTCTCCTCCATGGTCCTGATTTTCTACTTTTCAACTTACCTTCCCTCCTCCATTCTTGCTGGTCTCTTTACTTTCTTTCCTAGTCTGTGCACTTTGTTGCCCCGGGGTGGACTCACTTCCGATGCATATCGTGGACAAGAATCGCTTCTTGCCTGAGCTTTCCAGCACCGTCAATCATCGTCGACTCAGCGTCAAGCTGAAGCCGCTATTTAGGACATCCAGATAGCCCTCAGACCGGTTCAGATCGCTGTCGCCACGGCCACTAGGATGTATTTCCTCGAAGCGCAGTGCAGTCATGTATAGATACGCTGGCGTGACGAGGCTCCCTTCCTTTGGCTCTCGGTGATCACGTTCCTCGTGGCTGTAGCCGAGCTTATTGGTTTGATTGTCCTTCGGACCAATGGCATTTCCAAGTTCCATTCGTTGGCCGTGGCCACCCTCTATGTCCTCGCATTCTTGGTGCAACTCAGCCACCTCTTGCCCACGCCGGTCCAGGCAAACGACGACAAGATAGAGCCGTCATGGCATGCGTTTGTGGAAGCCTGGACCCTCATGATCTTGTCTGACGTGCTCGCCATTTTCGATATATATACCCGGCTCGACAATGACGCAACCTCCACCCCCAACTCCCCCACCTCCCCTCGCATGGCTGCTCCCTCCCCCTTCAGCATCGCGACTACCACTACAGGAAAGGGAAGCAGTGCACAGCAAAGAAACAAACCACAAAGCAAAAAGAGGAAATGCTCTCCCACACTCCGAAGAAACGTCAGCGAAGAGATCCGCGGTGCAGGCGGCCGGTGGCAGTGGATGAAAAAATTCCGCATCTTCGTGCCGTGGGTGTGGCCGAGCCAGCGGCCGTGGATGAAGGTGCACATCGTCTGCGCCATCATTGTGCTCGGAACGGAGACGCTGCTGTCGCTATACGCGTCGTACGTGCAGGGCGCCTTTGTCCAGAGCGTCGTGCAGGCGTATACGGCCCAACACCTCAGCACCGCGTGGAAGCCGCCGGCGCTGGTCGTGGTTGTCCAGTTCGCTTACTCGAGTAGCGGACTGTCGGCCGTGCGCACGTTGTTGTGGGCCAAGTTCAAGCTCGGCCGCAAGGCCAAAGTGCGCAAGCTCGTCTACGAGCATCTCATGAGTCACGAGGCCGCCTTCCATAACTCGACGGACCGGACTGACATCAGCACGGCCATTGAAAAAAGCAATCAGGTCTGTACGTCGCTCGACTATCTCGTATTCTGCACCGTACCCGAGGTGCTGCGTCAGTGCGACCCTCCTATCGCTGTACGGGCCGCGAGTCTCGCTCGTGCTTGGCGCCGTCTCGGCCGTCGAACTGCTCCTCGTGCTCTGGGCCAACCGTAACCAGACGGTGATCGTCGACCGCGCTACGAAGACCCGCTTCGGGACGAATCGCCTGTGCCAGGGTGGCCTGCGTGGCTGGTCCACCGTGGCCATGTACGATCAGATCGACCGCGAGATCGGGGCGTACGGGGAGAGCCTCGGCGCGCAGACCGAGGCGTCGTAGCAGAACACACTCACGGGTCTCGTCTTCGGCTTAGGCTCGAGTCTCTTGTCGTCGTTTGGCGCCTTCGCAGCCACCACCCTCGTCATCGTGCGTGGCCTGCAGACTGGAGACCACACGGTCGCGCCCGTCGTGGCGTTCGGCGGGTACATGGCCCTGGCCAAGGGCCCGATGCGGCACCTCACCCGGATCCCCGAGCACATCATGGAAGATCTGTACAACGCCGACCACCTCCGCCGACTGCTCGAGATTGTGTCCAAGATGAAGTACGGGCCCAAGAATCTCACCCTTGATGTGGGTGGCGGCACCATCGAATTCAAGAACGTCACCTTTGGCTATCCCTCGGCGGCTGATGGCGCGGGGAACAAGACGACCCTCAAACACTTCTCTCTCGTCGTCAGCAGCGGCCGGACAACCGCACCTCGTCGGTCCGTCTGGCTGCGGCAAGTCGACAATTATCGACCTCGTGAAGCGGTCGTACGATCCCGACGTGGGCACAATCCACATCGACGGCCAGGACATCAAGGAGCTGCAAAAGAGAGAGTGAGTGACACTGTTTCCATTCTTGCTCTTACATCTCCTTGCACTTGGACCCCCTTGCACATATTTCATGATGTTACTAACATATCGAAACCACCATACAGGCTGTCCAAGTACATCTCCGTCATGGCTCAGACGCCGTACCTCTTCAACCACACTTTCTCGCCCAATATCAAGTACGGCCGGCCCGATGCCACGGAGACAGAGCTGCACGATGCGGCAGACCGCGCCGGCATTCACGACATGGTCCAGCGGTCTCCCGGAGAAGTACGAGGGTAACGTCGCCGAGGGTGGCGGGTGAGTTTCCCTCTTCTTGCATGATCGAGGTGGTGAACCGTGACTGTCTTGACATCATATCGTCATCGTGTTGTTACTGACTCTGCACCAGAAACCTCTCCGGCGGCGGAAAAACAACGAGTTGCGCTGGCCCGGACACTTCTCCACGATGCATCCGTCCTCATCCTTCGACGAGGCCACCAGTGCGTTGGACGCTGACACGGAGGCTCACGTCAAGGAGAGCATCAAGAGCAACAAGACAACCATTGTCATTGCGTACGTAACCGTGTGACTTATCTCTTTCTTCTTTCTTCTCCCCTCTGGGTGTCGTTAGAAGAGTCAGTCAATCAAATGACTTCTTTACCTTTTTGACTCTACTCTCCACCTCTGCCTCTGCTCTCCACCTCCGTCTCCCTCTCTGACTTGAGCTCCACGTCTGACTCTGTTCTGACAAAGAAGATCATAAAGTCGAGGATGAAGACAGCAAGCAGAAGCAAGAAGAGGAGGAGGAGAAGAAGTAATTAAATTTAAAACGTTCAGGGGCAGAGACCAGAATACTCCCGCCTCTTTGCTCTCAGTTGCTCCCGATAGTCTTGCAGGTCGCGGACCTTGTCCTCGATAAAGGCGGAAGAAGCAGTGCACCAGTATGGCGCAATGGTTTGCTGAAACCGGGTTGCTTGCCCCCTTTCTGAATGTGACGGGGCGAACATGGGTTGTATGTTATCCATGAACAGATTGTACATGCCTCTCGGCTCGTTCAAGCTGCTCCAATACCAATGCATCTTCTTCTCTAGAGAAGCTCTCATCACTGTTGTACAAAGGCCCGGCTCCAGGGGTGAGTCGCGGACCCCAAATCTGTCCTCTTGTTCAAATATGTCGAGAAACTCGTTGCATGTGCGATCGAAGTCTGCAACATTCTCTCCTTCCATCTCATCGAGTTCGTGTCCGCTCAGCCAGAATGGTGGATGCTGCGTTTCGATTGGCAAGGAGCAACTCCATTCAAGATCAACAACTGCCTTGATGTTACACTGTCCGTCCACGAAGATATTACTCGGGTGAAGATCGGTCAATCGAAATATGAAAGGTCCATGTTGAAGATCGCGCTGCGTGAACGCCGCCGTCAGACTCCGCATGATAGTTAGAACAGCCATTTGTCCTTCTGCATCGCGTTTTGACCGGACTGAGTTTGGCTGATGTAGCAATTTCAGGTCATGGCAGCGTAAGAGGTCATGGAAATAAGGGTCAGACCGCGAATAACATGTCTTTGGTGAGATTTCAGTGGGAACGCCTTGATTCTCCAAGACAGCGAGTTGCAGGGTCAAAGGACGTTGACTTAGACGCACTTCACCATCATTATGGACCGTGAAAGAGCCTATTTTGCATAACGGATGTGCCAAATTGAGCATGAGTCTAGAAAGATCTCTGTAGAGATTCTGTTTTTGATCAGTGGCATCTGCACGGAGTGGCCACTTGCTGGACAACATTGTGCCTTGGTTCTTGTCGATAAAATCCATGAGGAGGTAGCCGCATTTAAGGGAAGCGGGACATCGACGTGGAACAAACGGCCGATGAAAAGGCTTTCGCAGGATCCATGCCAAACCCCTTTTCACGTATTCAAGAGCGCGCAAGTACCAGGGAAGTCGAGAGACGGAGGTGAACTGGATTATGAGTGAGTCTTGACTTAGGATCGAACGCTGAGACACCTACAGCCAAGCCATCGGGAAGGCCAAATCCCCATAGCCATGGGATGGGGACTCGAGGGCAATTCTGGGAGATCCACACAAAGGTAGCAGCCTCAGAGCGAACCTTCTCGTCTAAAAGCCGTGGCTTTGTCACTCCTCCGAGTCGATAGGGAAGGGGGCACTTGATCAGAAGTCGGTGCGCCCTCGGACCACTGACGTGAATCGGAAGGCAAGCGTTGAAGCTCCCACAAAGCCAGTCTGATGGCGGTGCAACAATACAATGTTGACCGGGCAAAAGACGGACGTGTTGGGCAACGATCCTCTCGATAACATCCGTATGACTCTGCAGATACTCGAGAAACTCCCGTTTCAGCCGTGGGTATTCTAGTTTCACGAGCATATTATCATCCTCATTTTCAATGTATTCCCAGTCCAGTTGTCCAAACCCATCTCTTTTCTCTACAGCGCCAGGATTTTGAACATCGGAAGGAGGCGTCATAGAGAAGTCGACACCCAGAATAAGCGTGTTGTTGAGACAAAGATTCCGAGAAATTGTTATTGATGACAATACCCGAGGATGCTCCTTGTCATGACGCTTATGGAAAAGTCTGCGAAGGAGTGGCGAGGGGGATCGCAGGAGGTCGCAGGGAGGCAGAGGTACAGGGAGAAGGCTGTGGGATCACAGGCGAAATCGTAGGAGGGCGAAGGTACGAGGCGAGGAGATCACGAGAACACCCTGACGCGCCGCTTGCCCCACGCGCGCGTTCCCACGTGATTATAGGAAGGCTTGGCTTTAGCCTTCCAGCTCAGTAAAGCGAATCCTTGGGAGTTCTTGGCGAGAACGGACTATACTTTGTCCGCTCCGGAACGATGGCCAGGTTCAACCTCACCACCACCACTCCCGCACGTATCTTTGTTTTTTTGTTTCAAGGACAGGGATTGACGCCACTCTCAGAAACTAAATCACTCTCAGTCAACCCAGTCAGAAGGCAAAGTGGACAGATGGAAAGGAGGCTGGCCAGCGTCCTCCTGCTGCAGCAGGCTTACAACACGGCGCAAGTTGGTACGTCGTGTGCACGACGAGGAGCAGGAGTGATGAACAGGGGCGAGCCTTCGGTGACATAGTATGTATGGATTCTCCTATTGGGGCAAAATGCAGGAAGGCTATCCACTGCTGTGCGAGGATGGTGGCATCCTCCAAACGGATATGGAACAGATGATTAATGGGATGGCAGGACTTCAGCTCCCTTACCTACAGAAGAAACTCAACACCTACTTCTTACACGTCACCAGCAATTATAGCCTTCGACGAGCTTCAAGACTTAGCCCAAGAGGCGCAGAGGTGTCGCTAGATCTGGAAGGTTGCTGCGTGCCGCAGTCATGGATAACTGGTAGACTAGGTGTTGCAGTTCCATCCAGACAAGCCTCGATGCGCCGCGGGCGACAGTGCAAAATTCCTCAACAGCGGCTTTTGCCTTAGCTAAAAGCTGGCATTCTCTATTAAGGATGTCTGACTCGTCCACTCTGTCCCGAAGGACGTGGTCAACAAGAGCCTGGCAGGTGAAAAAGTCGTGATGGAGGCCGAGGCCGAGTTGCAGGTGCTCCAGTCGATCCGTGAAAAGACGTTGCTAGATTCTGACCCCAAAAGATTCATGGCTGGGTTACCGCTGCTCAGGTTTTGAAAAACATAGGCCTAGCCTATCACGGCGCAACCTTGAACAGGAGGAATCGCTGTTAAGGGTGTAATTATGATATGAATTCTGAGACGAAAGAGTCTAACTAGCAATAACGCGCAATCTACGGTAGAAGAGTTCACAGATATTCAGCCTCGTGTAGGGTAGTCAGCCTTGTGCGGGGTATCCTACACTTAGCATTTATCAAGACCGTGACATTACCCCCCTTTAAACCGCGTCTTCGTCCTCAAAGATTCCTAATATTTCTCCAGCAATTTAAGACATCTTAAGACGCAACATAATGAGTCTTTAACTAGCTTAACTAGGTAAGATAGTCTCCGGAATCACTTTCCTAGGTTTAATACGATCTTATGCCGTTCTAGTAGGTCTAGAGACGTCTTAGTAGTTAGTTAACTAGCTTAATAACGAGCTTATCCTTCCCTACGGCTATTAGTTTAGATAGAGTAGAGTAACTTCCGCGTCTCCGTTAGTGTATTTAAACTGTCGAATAGCTCTTATAGGAGAAGGTAAGTTATCGGAATCGTGTAATCATTAATTTAAGCTAATCGATTACATCCGTTTCCTTATCTTCTTTATCCTCTTTAATCTCCTTAATTTCGTCGATTCATTAGGTTTATTCGTCTTCTTAATCGGCCTCCGCTTACTAGTCGTAAAGTTATAATTAGCCGGTAAGCCGGCTTTCTTTAGGTATCTCTTATGGAATTCTTAGACTAGTTTATTATATCTAGGTAGTACCTCCTCCTAGTAGCACTATTATTCCCTATTTTAACCTATCTATTTCACTAGATACTATAATTAACGGGCTTTATCGAATAGTCGTATATTATAGATATCTTTAACTTTATATTCTTCCTCTACTATATCTTCCTATTTAACTATAATAGGTAGAGGTAGTAGTTAGATTTAACTAGGAAACGGAGTTTCTTCACTAGCTAGTGATAAAAGGGAGGTATGAAATACATTATAGATCTTTATACCTTTATCTAGCTATAACTTATATACCCTTAGGTTATAATCCCTACGACTTTAAAGGGCCTAAGTTATTTCGTATCGAGCTTCTTTAAAGGTCGATTCGTTTTAATATTCCGAGAATTTAGCTAAACTATATCTCCTAACTAATACGCTAGAGACGACCGTCTACTAGTATTAGCCTATACTATATAACGGGCTTAAGCGTAAGTAATCTCGTCCGTTATATCCTTATAGAGTTTCCGTATCTAGTCCGTAAACTCATCCACTTCGCGGATATCTCGTATAGCTCTCGCGGTAGTCGTACGTCCTTCTACGGGATCTATTTCCTAACGTATATAATATCCGTAATTTACGAAGAACGGGGAGATACTAGTCGTTTCTAATATATATAAGTTAATTACGAACTTAGCGATCGGTAACTAATTAACCTAATCGTCTTACTAGTAATTATAGTACGCTCTTAGATACTACTCTATAATTTAGTTTAAATTCTCTAACTAACCGTTAGTTTCTAGGTAGAAGGCCGATAATAACTTTCGACGAATATATAACCTTTTATAGACTTACTTCTATATAGTAGAGATAAACTAAGTACTACAATCTAAAGTAATAGCGTACGGTAGACTATAGCGAGAAAATATATATCGCACGAAAAGACGTATAATATTAATAGCGTCTATTACGCAATATAGAATAAAGTATTTCTATTTAGTAAATCGATCGGTGATAGTTATAATATTTTCGTAGTCTACTCTATCGGTTTTTCCTTTACTTTTCGGGAGTTCTACGACGAAATCCACCGTAATCTTAGTCTATAGATAGTCTAGTGTAGGTAATAGTTAAAGCTATCTAGAATAAGCCTATTTAGACGCTTTAGTCCTTCTATAAATATAATAATTCGCAATATATCTCTTAACGTCCTTAAGGAGACTTAGCTAATAATA